GTAGGCCCTTGTTCTTGAAATTTGTAGACGCTAGGCCCTTGTTCTTGAAATTTTTCAGACGCTAGGCCCTTGTTCTTGAATTTTTGCACACGCTATGCCCTTGTTCTTGCAATTTTGCACACGCTAGGCCCTTGTTCTTGCAATTTTGCAGACGCTAGGCCCTATTTCTTGCGATTTTGCACACGCTAGGCCCTTTTTCTTGCAATTTTGCACACGCTAGGCCCTTGTTCTTGAATTTTGCACATTCCAGGCCCTTGTTCTTGCAATTTTGCACACGCTAGCCCTTGTTTCTTGCAATTTTGCACACGCTAGGCCCTTGTTCTTGAAATTTTGCAGACGCTAGGCCCTTGTTCTTGCATTTTGTATGCAGACGCTAGGCCCTTGTTCTTGCTATTTTGCACACTCTAGGCCCTTGTTCTTGCAATTTTGCACTCGCTAGGCCCTTGTTCTTGCAATTTTGCACATGCTAGGCCCTTGTTCTTGCAATTTTGCACACGCTAGGCCCTTGTTCTTGCAATTTTGCACACACTAGGCCCTTGTTCTTGCAATTTTGCAGACGTTAGGCCCTTGTTCTTGCAATTTTGCACACGCTATGCCCTTGTTCTTGCAATTTTGCACACGCTAGGCCCTTTTTCTTGCAATTTTACAGACACTAGGCCCTTGTTCTTGCAATTTTGCACACGCTAGGCCCTTGTTCTTGCAATTTTGCACTCGCTAGGCCCTTGTTCTTGCAATTCTTCTGCAACGCTAGGCCCTTGTTCTTGCAATTTTGCACACGCTAGGTCCTTGTTCTTGAATTTTGCACACTCTAGGCCCTTGTTCTTGCAATTTTGCAAACGCTAGGCCCTTGTTCTTGCAATTTTGCAGACGCTTGGCCCTTGTTCTTGCAATTTTGCAGACGCTAGGCCTTGTTCTTGCTATTTTGCACACGCTAGGCCCTTGTTCTTGCCATTTTGCACACGCTAGGCCCTTGTTCTTGCAATTTTGCACACGCTAGGTCCTTGTTCTTGAATTTTTGCACTCGCTAGGCCCTTGTTCTTGCAATTTTGCAGACGCTAGGCCTTGTTCTTGCAATTTTGCAGACGCTTGGCCCTTGTTCTTGAATTTTTGCACTCGCTAGGCCCTTGTTCTTGCAATTTTGCATACGCTAGGCCCTTGTTCTTGAATTTTTGCCGACGCTAGGCCCTTGTTCTTGCAATTTTGCACACGCTAGGCCCTTGTTCTTGCAATTTTGCAGACACTAGGCCCTTGTTCTTGCAATTTTGCAGACTCTAGGCCCTTGTTCTTGCAATTTTGCACACGCTAGGCCCTTGTTCTTGCAATTTGCAGACGCTATGCCCTTGTTCTTGCAATTTTGCAGACGCTGGGCCCTTGTTCTTGCAATTTTGCATACGCTAGGCCCTTGTTCTTGGTATTTTGCACACTCTAGGCCCTTGTTCTTGCAATTTTGCACACGCTAAGCCCTTGTTCTTGCAATTTTGCACACGCTAGGCCCTTGTTCTTGCTATTTTGCAGACGCTAGGCCCTTGTTCTTTCAATTTTGCGCACGGTAGGCCCTTGTTCTTGAATTTTTGTAGACGCTAGGCCCTTGTTCTTGAAATTTTTCAGAGCCTAGGCCCTTGTTCTTGAATTTGCACTCTCTATGCCCTTGTTCTTCTAATTTGCAAATGCTAGGCCCTTGTTCTTGCAATTTTGCACACTCCAAGCCCTTGTTCTTGCAATTTTGCACACGCTAGGCCCTTGTTCTTGCAATTTTGCACACGCTAAGGCCCTTGTTCTTGCCATTTATACACGCTATGCCCTTGTTCTTGCAATCTTGCACACGCTAGGCCCTTGTTCTTGCAATTTTGCACACGCTAGGCCCTTGTTCTTGCAATTTTGCACACGCTAGGCCCTTGTTCTTGCCATTTTGCACACGCTAGGCCCTTTTTCTTGCAATTTTGCACTCCACTAGGCCCTTGTTCTGGAATTTTTGCACCCGTTTAGACACTTGTTCTTACAATTTTGTACTCGCTAGACACTTGTTCTTGCAATTTTGCACACGCTAAGGCCCTTGTTCTTGCCATTTTATACACGCTATGCCCTTGTTCTTGCAATTTTGCACACGCTAGGCCCTTGTTCTTGCAATTTTGCACACGCTAGGCCCTTGTTCTTGCAATTTTGCACACGCTAGGCCCTTGTTCTTTCAATTTTGCACTCGCTAGGCCCTTGTTCTTGCAATTTTGCACTCGCTAGGCCCTTGTTCTGGAATTTTTGCACCCGTTAGACACTTGTTCTTACAATTTTGTACTCGCTAGACACTTGTTCTTGCAATTTTGCACTCGCTAGGCCCTTGTTCTTGCAATTTTGCACACGCTAGGCCCTTGTTTTTGCAAGTTTGCACACGCTAGGCCCTTGTTCTTGAAATTTTGCACACGCTAGGCCCTTGTTCTTACTATTATGAATACGCTAGGCCCTTCTTGCAATCTTGCACTCGCTAGGCTCTTGTTCTTGAAATTTTGCACTCGCTAGATACTTGTTCTTGAAATTTTTGCACTCGCTAGACACTTGTTCTTGCAATTTTGCACTCGCTAGGCCCTTGTTCTTGCAATTTTGCAAATGCTAGGCCCTTGTTCTTGCAATTTTGCACTCGCTAGACACTTGTTCTTGCAATTTTGCACACGCTAGGCCCTTGTTCTTGCAATTTTGCGCACGCTAGGCCCTTGTTCCTGCAATTTTGCACACTCTAGGCCCTTGTTCTTGCAATTTTGCACACGCTAGGCCCTTGTTCTTGCAATTTTGCACTCGCTAGGCCCTTGTTCTTGCAATTTGCACTCGCTTGGCGCCGAATTTTTTCGGTACGCGCGAACTATGCCGGAATTGCTCAGGTGGGTGTATTTGTGCATGGGCAACACATATATACAACAAAATTCAAGTCGTTCGACGCTTTTCCCTATGCCCATTCGGATCCATGTGCTTCCTCAGCGTTTGTCGGCAGACGCGGCCGTCATCGCAGGCGTCGAACTTTTCCTTGCGCTCGATCCAAGCCAGAATTGTCCTGTGGGTGTACTTGAGCATGGGCCACCCGAATGTGAAAAGCATTTAGGTCGTTCGACGCTTTTTCCTACGCCTGTAGGGATCCATGTGCTTCCTTAGCGTTTGTCGGCAGGCGCGGCCGTCATCGCAGGAACCGAACTTTTCTGTGCGCGCGAACCAAGCCAGAATTGCTGAGGCGGGTGTATTTAAGCATGGGCCACCTGGATATGCAACAACTTTCAGGTCGTTTGATGCTTTGCCCTATGCCTGTATGGATTCATGCGCTTCTTTAGCATATGTCGGCACGCGCGGCCGTCATCGCAGGCGCCGAACTTTTCGTTGCGTGGGAACCAAGCCGGAATTGCTCGGGTGTGTGTATTTGAGCATGGGCCACCCGAATATGCAACAACTTTCAGGTCGTTTGGCGCTTTTCCCTTTGCCTGTAGGGATCCATGCGCTTCCTTAGCGTTTGTCGGCACGCGCGGCCGTCATCGCAGGCGCCGAACTTTTTGGTGTGCGCAAACCTAGCCGGAATTGCTCTGTTGGGTGTATTTGAGCATGGGCCACCCGAATATGCAACAACATTCAGATCGTTCAACGCTTTTCCCTACGTCGGTAAGGATGCATGCGCTTCCTTAGCGTTTGTCGGCAGGCGCGGCCGTTATCGCAGGCGCCGAACTTTTCCGTGCGCGCGAACCAAGCCGGAATTGCTCGGGTGGGTGTATCTGAGCACAGGCCACCCAAATATGTAACAAAATTCAGGTCGTTCGACGCTTTTCCCTATGCCTGTAGGGATCCATTCGCTTCTTTAGCGTTTGTCGGCAGGCGTGGCCGTCATCGCAGGTGCCGAACTTTTTTCTGCGCGCGAACCAAGCCGAAATTGCTCAGGTGGGTGTATTTGAGCATGGGCCACCCGAATATGCAACAACATTCAGGTTGTTCGATGCTTTTCCCTACGCCTGTAGGGATCCATGCGCTTCCTTAGCATCTGTCGGCAGGCGCGGCCATCATCGCAGGCGCCGAACTTTTTCTGTGCGCGTGAACCAAGCCGAAATTGCTCAGGTGGGTCTTTGGTGGATGTATTTACCGGTAAGCATGGGCCATCCGAATACGCAACAACATTTACCTTTCAGGTGGTTCGATGTTTTTCCCTACGCCTTTAGGGATCCTGAGCATTTGTCGGCAGACACTGCCATCATCACAAGCGCCGAACTTTTTTGTGCGAATCAGACAGCCAAAAAACGAATCTGAGGGCTTGGTACTGACCGAAGATATCAAGCGTTCACGTTGGGAATAAATAAATGTAGCGATATTCATAATGTATGTTGTGGTAGATGACTACGCAGCGCTTCTTGGTCTGTGCGTGAAGAACACTCTGCTCTGCATGAGTGTGATCGTCGAGGTTGAGTTGAGTTGGCTAGCTTGGCAAACTACACGCTATAACAAACTTCGCTGTAGGACCGCAAACTTGCACATTACCCAATACAGTCAATTGGTACTACCGTACAGATTATATGTTGTATTACAAGTATCTAGTTACTGAGCAGCACGTTTCGCCTGGTCCCTCTCGGCAGCTCGTTTGAGAGCCAGGGCTGCCTTCACCACATTGCCGCGAGTGATGAGCCCCACCTGCACCACACCACAGCAGCACACACGCACAGAATCAGTCTGCAGTGCTAAACCAAGTGTGCAGTGTTGTCAAGTAATCTCATAAGTTGTACATGTCCTTGCAGGCTGAAGCGCAAGGTGCATAGTGTGTGCTGGCATGTTGGACGGAGGTGTGCGTTCGTTCCTCTTCATTCCTGCGGTGCACGTACCAGTTTGCCGTTGTCGTCCACCACAGGCAGGCGGCGGTGCTGATTCTCCAACAGCATCCTGCCAGCAGCAAGCGAAAGGGTTGGGGAGAGAGCAGAGAGAGAGAATGGAAGGCAAGCAAGAGAGAGAGCGGGGGGCAGAGAAGGGGAACACTGGATGAAGCGGGGATTGGGGTTGGTGGGGTGTGGAAGGGGGAAACGGAAACTATTCATGGGAGGAAAAGAACAGGAGGAGGTACAGGGGTAGGGACAGGAGGCAAGAAAACGGGTGTGACCTGGAAGCCTTGACTTTCGGAAAGCAGGCATGGGTGCAGGGAGGCGTGGGGGCAGAGAGGCATGGTTGCAGGGAGGCATGGGTGCAGCCAGACAAAGATGCAGTGCAGGAGGGTAGTGTGGTGGGGCAGTGGGGGGGCGCGTGTGACCTGGCGGCCTGGTCGAGGTTGGTGGAGGGGTGCACGGTGTGCGGGTGGGGCGTCATGACATCCGCCACCACCCGCCCCCGCGTCTTTATCAGCAGCTTCTGAATCTCCCTGAACGCCTGCCGTGCCACGTCAGCGCGCCCGTGGCCGTGGGGAGGTGGGGGATGGGACAAGGGGGACGGGGGATGAACATGGGAAGGTGGGGAGAGGGAGGGAAGGGGAGATGTTATGGTACGTCTGGGGGACGTGTGTGGTGAAGGGAGGGCGCAGTGCAAGGTGCGGGGAGAATGGAGGAGACACAGCAGTAGCAGAAAAGGGGTGGTGGGCAGAAACACATGGGTGAGTGGGCGAGAGAAGGGCCCGGGGGAGGGGAAGGGTGTGGGTGGTGGTGTGAAGGGATGGGGGAGGTGCACCTTCCACGTGCTGCCAGCCTCGGGGAAGAGCGAGGAGGACGGCCCGGATGACCCCACGCCTGCATGCCATGCCATGTGCATGGGGACAGGCGGGCACAGAGAGATGGCAGGTGCCATGGGCATGGGGGGTACGATTAGCACTGTAGTTGCTGGGATAGCAGGGGCTGTGGGTGAGAGGCGTGGAGAGGGGAAAAGGTGAGAGAGGAAAACGAAGAGAGTGTGAGATGTGAGAGCGCAGTGAGAGAGGTGAGGGGAGGAAGGAGAGGGAACAGGGGGGGGCGGGCAGGGAAGAGGAGGGGCGACAGGGTGTGGCAGGCAGAGGAGAGGAGAGGCGGGGAGAGCAGAAGGGGGGTGGGAAGAGCAGAGAAGATGGGGGAAGAGCAGAGAAGATGGGGGAAGAGCAGAGAAGATGGGGGAAGAGCAGAGAAGATGGGGGAAGAGCAGAGAAGATGGGGGAAGAGCAGAGCAGAGGAGGGGCAGGGGCAGGGGCGCACCGGAGATGGAGTCGAGGGCCAGCAGGTCATAGTCCGACACCACTCCCACACATCACCCACCTGCCATGCCATGCCATGCCATGCCGTGCCATGCCATGCCATGCCATGCCGTGCCATGCCATGCCATGCCATGCCATGCCATGCCGTGCCGTGCCCATGCCATGCCATGCCATGCCATGCCATGCCATGCCATGCCATGCCATGCAATGCCATGCCATGCCATGCCATGCCATGCCATGCCGTGCCATGCCGTGCCATGCCGTGCCATGCCATGCCATGCCATGCCATGACATGCCATGCCATGCCATGCCATGCCATGCACACACATGCACGCACACGCACACACGCGTGCATGGAGGGAGAGACGGTGCTGGTGTGAGGAGGAGCGGATGGGGATTGTGCGAATCTGGGGAAATGTGAGCACGGTGTGCGTGAACGTGCGAACACAAGTGTGCATCACAACACAACATCCATCTCCCCTCCCCCACCACCCATCCTCTCACCCCCCACCCCTCTCCCCCCCCCCTTCCCCCCTCACCAGGCGCCCGTGCGCGTCCACCACGGGCATGCCTGTGATGCGGTGCTCCACCAGCAGCTCCAGCGCTGCGCGCACAAGGGGGGGAGGGGTGGGGCGGGGGGAGGCGGGGGAAAGAAGGGGGGAGGGGGAGAAAGGAGGTGGAAGAGCGAGAAGGGGGAGACGGCTGGGAAAGGGGGAGGGGCGGAAGGGGGTGGAGAACAAGGGCGAGAGGTCGGGCCGACTTAGAGCAAGCACCGAGTTTCCATTGCGCTTGGTGCAATATTGCATACGTTGGCGGACCTTGATCGACGGTGCTGCACGGACCTTGATCGACGGTGGTGGAGGGCTGCGCGCACACGAGCTTGCCGGCCGACATGCAGTCGCCCACCGTCAGATGGTCCGTCGTGCGCACCGCCGCCCAGTCCACCGCCGCCTGCCCTCCCGCGCACAGCGAGCGCGCGCACAGGGGGGGAGCAGGGCAGGGAAGCACGAGGGGGGGGGGGGGGGGGGAGTGCGCATGTTTGTTGCGCGCGCGGAGAGGAGACTCGGTGGATGGCGGGGCGAGCGAGAGATGGCGACGCGGGACGAGAGGAAGAATTGGGAGCGCTGGGAGAGCGACGAGACCGACCAGGACGAGCGGAAGGCGCGAGGGACGAGGGGAGGTGGGCGCGCGAGCATCGCTGCTGCTGTCGCAAATCTACGCATTTAATATTTCGAGCACACATGCTGGCGACGATGTGCGACACAACATGTCGCCAAAGACAGCTCACCCTGTCGCCCGCAGCCGCAACGACCAATCGCGGAGTCCGCGTTTGCCGAGTGATGGTCTGAGGAGTGCGGGGCACGCGGAGGCTGGATGCGCGGATAGGAGGACAGCATGCGCCAGTGTCGGCGCGGGAGGACGCGGGAGCGGAGGTGCGCGCGACGGCGCGCGGAGCTAGGCGCGCGGGGAGAGAGGAGGCGACGGTGAGGGCCGCCATGGCGTCTGGCAATGTTACTAATCACCAGTGCGGCGCACGGCGAGTGCGGCGGGGCAGCGTGCGGGACGGTGAGCAAGGCAGTCGAATGCGAAAGGTGCGTGCTTGGTAACGTGGATGCAGAGGTGAACACGAGGGGCGTATGCGCTGATTGGTGAATGCCTGTTTGTGGTTGTCTGACTGCTGATGTCAGCAATGGATGGTTAGAAGGTGCCACGTGCGCTCGTTCAGAGATGACCACTCGAGATCTCCGCGTGTAAAACCGTGATATCTATTTGAACATAACTTATGTTCAATGCTTATCCTCTTGTCTTATGTTTATAGCCATTCAGGAAATATTGGATCATACCACAACCGTGTGGCCTCACACATGCACGTGCAAACCTCCAGCTCCACTTATGCTTGAATTCCGCATAATTCATTGCAATGCGATCATTAAAAAACGCCTTTAAAAATGAGCGTGCTGCCTGCTGAGCAGCAAGCAGGGTAAAGCAGTCATGCATCTCAGACTCCTATGCTGCTATGCTACTACGCTACTACCGTATGCTACTACTGTATGCTACTACTGTATGCTACTACTGTATGCTACATGAGAAGCAGCTTCAGCACCTCACCTGCGATTGCATCCGCTGCACCCTCACCACGCTCCCCTCCATCACTCCCCCCACCTTCCTCCTCGCCTTCCCCAGCAGCACTTTCCTTGCCCCCCCCATACTCGCTTGCCACGTGCCTGAGCGCGCTCCCCATGGCGTCCAGTGCAGGCGCGTCCCCCAGCAGGCGTGCTGCCACCGCTGCCACCTCCCCCGGCCCCACCTCCCCCACCACCTCCGGCACCACCTCCCGCCCCGCCCACCTGCACAGCCGCTCAGGGGGAGCATGCACGGGGGGGAGGGATGGTGGTGGAAGTGACCTCGGGTGGGTGTGGGGGAAGACAGTGAAAGGAGTGATGGAGGGAAGTGTTGTGAGGGTTGGCAATGGGGGTGGCAAGGTGAGGGGTGGAGGAACGAAGCAGGCGAGGACATAAGCAGCAGCAAGGCAGAGAGATAAGAGGTGAGAGGCGAGGAGGTGAGGGGCGAGGAGGTGAGGGGGTACCGGTTGGGCCAGGCGAGGAAGGGCAGCGAGCGGAGCAGCGAGGCGTTGAGGAAGCGAGTGAGCGCTGCTGCTGGCCCCGCTGGCAGCAGTGCTGGCAGCAACCCCAACACACCCCCTGCCCCCCCTTGAAACAGCTGACGTGGAAAGAGGATGGAGGAGGAGAGGGTGGAAAGGTGTGATATGGAGTGGTAGTGGTGATGCAAGGAAGGGCCACAGCAAAAAGGCACGGAAGGTAGAGCGTGGAGGGAGATGCATAGGAGGGACAATGCAGTGCGTTGACAGGCAAGTCATATGGAGTGGGCATCACCCGCTAGTAAAGCTCGTGCATGTGAATCACAGACGCACCTCCAGTGAGAGAGTGGGCAGGACGACCACCATGGGCACTCCCAGTGCTGCCAGCTCAGCAGTGTTGGTGCCCACCTGCCATGCCACGTCACCCATGCCACATGTCACAATCACATAGATTGCGGGCCAATCGCAAAGCAAAGGATGACAGAAGAAAGTAAATGTGGCGAGCACAGCAGCCTTGGTATGCCTTGGTATGGCTTGAGGCGGGTGTTAGGCAATGCCAAAGTAGCACATGGGGCAATGCCAAAGTAGCACATGGGGCAATGCCAAAGTAGCACATGGGGCAATGCCAAAGTAGCACATGGGGCAATGCCAAAGTAGCACATGGGGCAATGCCAAAGTAGCACATGGGGCAGGCTCACAGTGGTGAGGGCGAGGGAGCACTGCGAGAGCAGAGCATACGAGGGAAACGCTCTCCACACCTCCACCTCCACTCCCTCACCCCCCCTCGCCCCCTCCCCTCCCTCCCTCCCCTCCTCCCCTTCAACCCCTCCCCCGTCTCCCCCCTCCCCCTCCTCCTCCCCGGCAACCAGTTTCCCTAAATACTCCCACCCGACCCCCTCTCCCCCCCCTGGCGGAGAGGGCCGTGCATCCCCCCCTGCGCCCGGGGGGGCGGGGGGCAGCAGGCGCGCGGGCAGCCAGGCGTGGCGGCCGATGAGCGTGTTGTGGCGCCGCGAGGCAAAGCGTGCTAGCGACGCCGGCTGCACCGTGGGGGCCAAAGGCAGGATGAACCGTATGCGGGGACTGCTGGGGAAAGGGGGGAAGAGGGACGAGGAGTGGATGGTTGTGAGGAGAGAACCGGGAGGTGGTGGATGGGGCAGCGACAGGTGATGGCTGCGAGTGGTGGTCACCTGCCTGCCCTCCTGCCTGCCCGCCTGCTCACTCACCCGTGAGAGCAGGTGTTGAGTGCATGGGCGACGGAGAGGAAGAAGGGCACTCCGATCATCAGCTTCACGTCCTGCCACCACACAGCATGTGGCACAGGGGTGCATGTGCATGGCATGGCATGGCACAGGGCGCATGACACACACACACTGGCATGAGTATGTATGACATATACACGCGAGTGCATGCATGCATGGGCACTCACACACGAGCTCACGAGTAATCCAACTGTGAAAGACCCCAGTGGTCCCTCACCTTGCTTCCCGGCAGCAGCCCCACCACCACCTCACGCTCCTCGCCCTCCCCCTCTCCTCTGCTCCCCTGCTCATCCTCCTCCCCTCTCCGCCCCTCGTCCCCCCTTCCCCCCTGTGCGCCCCTCGCCCCCTGCCCCCCTTGCACCCCCTGCGCGACGGCGGAGAGGAAGAGGTCTCCCACCACGCGGGCGCGGCGGGCGGCCAGCAGGGCGGGCGGGATGGCGGGCAGCAGCACGGGCGAGCGCAGCGCACTCATGTCCACCAGCCTGGGGTGGGGAGGGGGAGGGGAGCAGGGGAGGGAAGAGGAAAGGGGCAAGGTGGTTAAGATTCAATTAAAAAACACCACCCCACCAAACCACCCAATGGCCCCAACCACCTTTGCTATCTTTCCCCCCCCTGCTCTACACACTCCAGCCCCCCCCAACCGCTCCCCCACCCAGCCGTGCAACCCACCAGGGCCAGCGGGCAGCATCCTCGGAGTACACGAGGCAGCGGTACCGCAGGCGCCGAGCCAGCAGCACCGCGTTCAGCTGCTCGCCGCCCAGAAACACCACCACGCCCCGCCCCCGCCACCCCCACTCCCGCTCCCCCTCCCCCTCCCCCTCCCCCTCCCCATTCTTCTCCCCCTCCTCTTGTTGCTGTTGCTGGTCTTTTGTTCTTCCCCCAGAGGCTTCCCCCTCCCCTCTCTCCCAGCCCGTGTGCTGCCCCCCAGTGGTAGCAGCAGGGCGACTGAAGAGCAGCATGTGGAAGAAATCTTGGGGACCCTGCGTGGGGAGAGAGGGGCGTGTGGGGAGGGGGTGGGTGGGGGTGGGGGTGGCGTGGCGAGCAGTGGCAGCAGAATGCAGTGAACATGCGGCATGGGGCATGGCAAAGGGGCGGGAGGCGCAGAGGATGTGCAACGTGCGGGAGGAGCAGCAGGGGCGAGGGCGCAGAGCCTTGGCGGAGAGCTGTCACGAGCACTGTGGGCGCACGCGCGCACACAACCCCGGCAGATGCAACATCGCACGTCCGTCCCCCCATCCCCTCCTGCCATTCCCCCGCCCCCAATCCCACAGCGCCCTGTACCCCGGCCCCCCTCCCTGCATGCACTGGATCCCCCCACCTGCACCCACCGCCATCCCTTCCCCCCTGTGCGCGGCGCGGCACGCACCGTGCAGCGGTGCACGTGCGGCATGGCGCGCAGCACCGCCAGCTCGTTGCCCGACGCGTGCGGACACGGCGCCAGCAGCACCTGGGGAGACGGGGGGAGGGGGTAGCGGAGGGGCGGAGGGCGAGGCTCAGACGGGGAAGTTGGGGGAAATGGCAGGGCGCGGGGAGCGGGGAGCGGGGAGCGGGGAGCGGGGAGCGGGGAGCGGGGAGCGGGGAGCGGGGAGCGGGGAGCGGGGAGCGGGGAGCGGGTGGCAATAAGGATGAGCGTATTTATGGGAGCCAAGACGAGGCGACGAAGGATGCCGCGGCTCGAGCGTGGCACTCGCATGGCGCGAAGGAGGGGGGGGAGAGCAGCGCGCACGGAGATGCGGAGGCGGCGGGGGTCGGGGCCGAAAAGGCGCGCCAGCGACGCCACGACGGGCGCCACCCACGCCGCCACCTCGCCCGGCCCGTTCGTTATGATCGCCACGTCAGCACTGCCCACAGCCTCGCGCTCCTCCGCGCTCAGCCGCCCTGCCACGTCAGCGCCATCCGCAGCACTGGCGGCAGCGGCACGGCACGCTGCCGGCGAGGCGCGCTGCGAAGGGACGTCGAGGACCGCCGCGGGGGAGGTCAACGCGCGCCGCGCCGATGGGCGCGCCGTGGAGGCGGGAGCGGGTGTGAGTGCGGAGCGACGGGAACCATGGGTATGCGCGGTGGCGGAACGAGCGACGGAAGGCGCGGCGGAGGAGGAGACGGGAGATGCGCGCGGTTGCGAAGGGGCAGCGAGCCGCGATCTACTGGTGGGGGGTGGGGGGCGGCGACGAGACGCGAGTCGCGCGTAGCACTGCGGCGCCGGCGGCGGCGCTAGCGTGGAGGACATGACGACGCGCTGGAGAGGAGGCGCATGGGCGGCGACGAAATGATGCTGTCGAGGTGTGGGAGAGGAGAGGAGTATTGATCCGAGTGTCGCGGAGGATGCAAAATGAGAGCTTGCAGTCGCAAGTTGCGAGTTTGGCGTTGGATCAATCTGTCATCACTCCGCCCCGCCCACCACCATTCTCTCCCGCTAATCGATTACCCTCCTTCATTCCCAACCCTCGTCTCGCCGCCTCTCTCATCGCTCACCTGCCCTAGCAACTCCCTAATCTCACGCCGTCGCATTCGCTGCGCGCTGATCGCAGAGATCGCATAGATCGCATAGATCGCAGAGATCGCAGAGATCGCAGAGATCGCAGCGATTGGCGCGATCGCGGCGGCGCATGGCGGACGCGGCGGAGAGGCGGGTGCTGATTGTGGGCGACGGCGGCTCCCCCGCCGGGGCTGGCATGGGGGAGCGCGCGGGGGGCGCGCGGCAGCACGTGCTGCATCTGGCGCACCCGAAAACAGGCGCGTCACTGTCGGGGGCGCGATGGCGCGTGGGGAGTTGGGGCGCGTGTGCAGGGGAGTGCGAGTTGAAGCGCGAGGTGGAATGTGGTAGCAGGTAGTCTCGCCATGCGACATGTGCTAACATGCACCATCGCGCTCGTGTGCGCACGTGCGCCCTGCCCCATCCCCCCCTGCCCCCTGCGCCTCTGCCCCATGTGCGCCTGCCCCATTCCACTCTGCCCCATGCCACCCTGCCCCATGCCACCCTGCCCCATGCCACCCTGCCCCATGCGTGTGCGTGCGTGCGTGCGAGCAGGGGCGGCGGCGTGCTACATGCAGCGGGGCGGCGCGGTGTTGGAGGTGGCGTGGTTCAAAGACGCGCTCTCCTCGTGGCTTCTAGGCGACTCCGTGCTGCAAGGTGCTGGGGGCGCGGGGGCGCGGGGGCATGGGGACATGGGGCATGGGGGCTAGATCGGAGCATAGAGACAGTGATGGGAGTGATGGTGTGAGGGCAGAGAGTGTCAGAGCCTCATGGATCCCTCTCTGCTGCTTCACTGCTTGCATGCATCCCATGGGTGGAGCATGGTGGCTGCATGTGACGTGTTCTCCTTTGTGTCTGCATGAGACGTGTTCTCCTTTGTGTCTGCATGAGACGTGTTCTCCTTTGTGTCTGCATGTGACGTGTTCTCCTTTGTGTCTGCATGAGACGTGTTCTCCTTTGTGTCTGCATGTGACGTGTTCTCCTTTGTGTCTGCATGGCATGGCGTGGCATGTGGTGGCAGATGGCAGTCTATTCATGGCGACGCCTATCGATGCTGCCTTCCTGCTCCTGCCCATCCTCGATAAGAGCAGGATGAAGGTACTCCCACGCACCCACCCCACCCTCTCACCCACCTCAGCCACTCATGCATGGGAGCCACGCACACCCACATGGCACCACCCTCTCATTGCATCTATGGTGCGGCACCCTGCACCTTGCACTGGGCCTCGATGCGTGGGAGGGAGAATGTGACCCTTGCACCTGCCGTGTGTTGCTCACCCCAGTGCTTCACCTCCATTGTCCTGTTGCTCTCCTCCCTCCTCTCCCTTCCCCCCACCTCTTGCTTCTCTGCCACTGCCACATGCCCCATGCCACATGCATGTTGCAGAAGGAGGGATCAAGCAGTGAGGGAATGTTCAGATCGCTGGATGAAATCTGCACTGTTGATGGATTCCCATCGTACGGCTGGCTGCAGTCGCAGGGAGTGTGGGATCCCGTTCTCCCTCTCATCACCGACATCAGAGGTGCCCTGCCCCCCGCCCACTTGTACCCCTCACGTCCCACCTCTCCCATATCGTCCACCTTGACTTCCACCCCTGCCTCTTGCGTTCTCATACCAACTGTTCTTTTATGTGTGTCTGTGCTACCCGTTGTGGTGCTGTGCGGTGTGGCAGAGGTGGGCAGCACACGGTTCTACAGGTTGAATGACAGACGGGTGCTGGCATGGCTCACATGCAAGGTGAGTGGGTGCTGGCATGGCTCACATGCAAGGTGCGTGCGGGATTACTCCATTCGACTGCCCCATCTGCTTGCCATTCCCTCCATTCCCTCCCATCAACGCCGCTGCTCCCTCCTCGCCAATCTGCTCGTCTTCGACCCCCACCCCTCCCACCTGCACCACTCGCGCCCTCACTGCACCAGGTGGCGGCGCTCAAGGCAGTGCTGAGGCAGCATGGGGAGGCGCCGGTGAGAGGTCTGCCAGACACCGACCTGGGTGGGTGCCTGCCTGCCTGCCTGCCTGCCCGCCTGCCTGCCTGCCTGGAAGTTGTGCTGTCTTTTGTTCTGCGTGCTTACGTGCCTCTTCTCCACAAGTTCTCTCTCACAATTCAAGCCGGCTGCTGTGCATTTTGCTGCTGCTTCTCCCCTCGCCGCACCCCACACGTCCCCCCTCACCTTCTCCTCCCCCTCGCACACACAGAGGCATACGCGGTGGGGCTGCTGGCAGAGTATCTGCCCGCCTCCTTCCACACTGCCCTCTGCCGCCACCTCTCCATCAGGTCACTGTCGCCCACGCTCCTCACATGCGCTCTTCACACGCTTCCCTTCTGCTGCCATACCCCTCTCACACCTCTGCATACCGCCCTCTGTCCCTATCTCCTCTTCCAACCCCCCCTCCCACCCCCTCCATACGCGCCCTCCACTCTGCATGTGCCGCTGGCTGCTGTGTGCCGTGTGTGCGACAGTGAGGCCGAGGTGAAGCAGAGCCACCAAGGGGGGCAACGCCTGGCCAGCCCACCTGCCACTACTGCCACTCAACCCAAGGTGCCGTTCGCCTCAGCCGCTCTCCTGCACCCTCTCTTGCATGCACTCTCTTTTGCGCGCTTCCTTTCTGCATGCACAATGTCGGTCGCACCTTGCTGTGCGCTCATGTCTCATTACTATTTTAATATCCTTCCTGACCACGTTGTGCTATTGTGTCCCTCCCGTCTGTCTCCTGCCTCGCATGTCGCCTTTCAGGTCTCCTCCACACCCCTCAGCGCTGGGAAGCCGGGCTCCGCAAATTCGAACCAACGGGGGAAGAAGCCGCTTAAAGCCCAACCAGGCAATAGAAAAATCACCTCCTTTTTTGGAAGGAACAGATAATGTGCAAAACCAACAGTATGGGAATTATGTACCTTGTATGATTATATTCGAATACGGTACCGATGCCGGTTCAAAAGCGGCTTCGTCACGAAACCGTTGGGCCCACGTCGATTTGCCCGAGGCTGACGTGTGCATCCATAGCTGGCCATTCGTGAAGGGCCACTTCAGCGTGTCCCCTGGTCTCCCCTCCCGTGCTGCACCACCACCACCCATGCCATTCCATGTCCGTCTGTTCAGGTGTACGGTGCTCGCACATGATACCACCATCATAGCACACACGATCACAGATCACTTCCGTGCCTCTCCTATCCTTCCTGCTGATAGAACCCCGGCCACCAATCGCGCTCGCGCCCACGCTGTTCTCTTGGCGGCGCGCAGCCATCTCGCGTCGCCTCCCCCGCCTGCCACTCGCCGCTTGAATCGGCGCATTCATGAGCCCATCCGCGCGCCCCTGGAGATGCAACTGCGCTTGGGGGAATTTCGCACGCCGCCATTCCCAAAACCACGTGGCAATCGATTAAAATCGCATGGTGTGCTAATTGTGTCGCATGGCATCGCATGGTGTCATGGGTCGCATGACGCCACAGCTGCTGGCGCTCCACCCCGCCAGCCCTCTCTGCCCCTCGCACCCGCGAATTCCCCCCTCCGCCCCTCCCACGCGTCCGCTGCCGCTGCCGGCGCAGCCCGCACTTTCTCCCCCCCGCTCTCCGCGCGCCACTCCGCGCCCCACCATGCGCGCCACCCGCCTCCCCCCAGTAACCTTCCCCAGCTCTCCCGCGCCTCCTCCTCCGTCTCCTCGTCGCTCCCGCGCTCCGCGCTCTCCTCCCCCGCGTCCTCCGCGCTGCACCTGCCTGCCATTCCCTCGCTGCAGTCCCTCCCCTCGCTCCGCTCCCTCTCCTCCTTCTCCTCTGCGCACACCTGCGCGGGCTGCTCCTGCGCGGGGTGCGCGGGGGGCAGCGCGGCGGGGGGCACGCGCAGCCCGTCGGATGGGGGGGAGGTGCGCTGGTACTTCAGCAAGGGGCACTTCACCAAGGGCGGTGAGCGCGCGGACTGGGGGAGAAGGGTGGTGGGGGGAGGGCGGTAGGCGCAGCACAAGGGAGTGGGCGCAAGGGGAAAAGGAGGATCGCAGTGGGATGGGTGGAGTGGGCATGTGAGACCATATGGGGCTGTGCTTAATGCATGCTGTGCGCTCATGCTTGACATAATTTTCTTTCTTCCCTGTCCCCCCTGCTCTCTCTTACTCTGTGTTTGTCCACGTGTGTGTGTGTGTCTGTGGGCATGCGCCCATGGGAGCAGCGGTGGCAGCAGCGGTGCCGCATGCCATAGTGGCGTCCTCGGCGGACTTTCTGCGCTTCAGTGCGCGCGACTCACACGCCCTCGAAACCGCCTTCCGCCAGGTGACTGCGTTGCATGCGCTCTTCATTGAAGCGCTTGCATCAGGGCCCTTTTCATCCTTTGCCCCGGGTTTCCATGCTGCACCGCACCTCACCACTCTCTGCCCCCATCCCACCCCACCCCACCCCTGCACGCCACGCCACGTCAGCGCGAGGAGGAGCTGCTCACGCTGTGGTGGAAGGAGTATGCCGACGCTGCTGTGGGGCCCGCGCCAGGTGGCGTGCCGCCATTGGCCGACCGCGTGGCCCCTCTGCTGTCGTCCGATCGCATCCGCCCCTGGCAGATCGCCGCCCCCCTCAGAAGCAAGAGACGGCGACGAGGGGGGTGGGGGCGAGGGCGGGAGAGGGAGAGGGAAGAAGAGCGGCAGGAGAGGGAGAGGGAGCAGAAGAGGGAGAGGGAGAGGAGAGGGAACGCGGGAGGGAGAGGGAGGGAGTGGAGGAGGCGAGGCGAGGAGGGCGAGGGGGAGATGGAGAAGGAGGGGCTGTGGGCGGACGTGCAGGAGGAGGAGGAGGTGGAGGAGGGGGCGAGAGGGTGGAGATGCGAGTGGAAGGGCGAGAGAGGGAGTGGCGAGCAGGGAGCATGGGACAGTGGCAAGGCAGGCGATGCAGGGCGGCAAAAGGGGGAGGAGGGGGATGGGGAGGGGGACGGGGAGGAGAGTGAGGGGGAGAGTGAGGAGGGCGAGGAGGAGCCGATGGGGGTGGCGGTGAAGGGGGGGCTCTATGAGGTGCGCTCCCTGCCTGCCTGCCCTCACTGTGTGTGCACTGCCCACTGCATGTGCCCACTGTGCTGTTCCACGGGCACTCACATCAGTTGAGTTCCTTCGCAAGGAAGGGTCCTGCTCTCCATACGTATCCACCATCCCTCCAACCTCCCTCCCACCCCACCTCCCCCTCGCCTCTTACCCCAGGTGGATCTGGGTCGGAGGCGGTCGTATGCGGTGTACTGGGAGGGGGAGGACCGCCGTGTGCTGCGTGGGCTGTGGTTCGGCAAGCGGGAGGCGCAGCTGACGTGGCAGCCGCTGAGGGAGGACGTGGCAGAACAGCTGGAGGAGGCGTACAGGAGGCGGGTGAGGGAGGAGTGGGGAGAGAGGGGAGTGAGGGGAGTGTGGGGAAATGTTGGTCCCTTGGCCACCCATGCATTTGCTTCTCGTTCCTATGGCCACCACCTCTCTCTTCTCCCCACTTCTTGGTACCTCTCACCACCGCTTTCAACCCCTCCCATCTGCGTGTCTCCCTGTGCGCCAGGTGTGGCGGCGGCGGTGGTTCCAGTCGTCAGGGCTGTTCGCAGCTAGAGTGCCCATCGCTGGCGCCGGCGAGGTGAGCGCTGACCGCTGCACAGGGGTGAGCATTGGGGAGTGGACGGGACGGGAGGAAGGCTGATATCCGTGTTTGTGTGGGCGGTAGAGGAGTGCATGTGCGTGTAGGCTGGCACTACCTCTCATCGTAGCCACTGCACCTCACTCGTGAACGCCTGTCACCCTCTCCCCACACCCTCTCTCAGACTCTCACCCCCTAGTTCTTTCCCGTTTCCCAACTCCCTCACATTCTCGCAGGGAGTGAGTGCACTGTTCACGGGGGACGACAGCAGCTGGCGGGCGCAGCTGTGGGTGGAGGGGGCGCTGCTCTTCTCCTCGCCACTGCACGCCATGGCCCTGCGCAGGGGCTTCCTGCCCCCGCCCTCCACTCAGGTCAGCGCAGGGGCTTCCTGCCCCCGCCCTCCACTCAGGTCAGTGCGAGGCGGAGTGGAGAGGTAGCGCGTTGTTGGTTGGCTCCGGATGGCACAGGCAACCCTCCAGCGCACTTGCACTTCGCCTCCTTTCCATCCATGTTTGTGTGCCATCTTGCCCCTGCCTTGCCACACCCCCTTGACCCGTGCTCTCTCCCCCTGTCTTTCACTGCATGGCAGCAGGAGGACGAGCAGCAGGTGAAGGAGGAGGAGCTTGATGACTACTGCTCCATGGTGGGTGAAATGGATGATGCATATGTCCATGAACGCACGCACCCCATCCATCATGGCCACCCACCACTCTGCTGCATCACTCTCATGCCTCAGTTCTCTTGGCTTACATGTGTGCACACAAAACAAACAACCCCTTTCCACCTCACCACCATGTAGCGCTGTGAGACGTCTCACTCCCCCCACCCTCTCCCCCCCCCCACCAGGTGCCAGTGCAGCACGTGGTGTTCATGGTGCATGGGGTGGGGCAGCGCCTTTTGAGACACCTCAAAGTTACTCCCACCTTCCCCACACCTCTCTCCCTCTTTCCCTCCCCACCCCCCCCCCTCCCACCAGGTGCCGGTGCAGCACGTGGTGTTCATGGTGCACGGGGTGGGGCAGCGACTGGAGTCAGCGCACCTGGTGGATGACGTCACGGCCTTCCGCCACCACGCCGCTCAGCTCAGCCACTCCCACCTCACCGCCCACCAGCGCCTGCAGCACCGCTGCCTCTTCATCCCCTGCCAGGTGCCTCTTCATCCCCTGCCAGGTGCCTCTTCATCCCCTGCCAGGTGCCTCCCTCTCTCCCTACCAACTGATCCACCATCGCTCCTCACATACTTGTTTCTTTTCAAGATGCAGCGCGTACCCATTCTCTGCCGCTTTCAGCCTCACATCACGTTCCCCTCATCGTCCACCTCCCTGCCCCTCACTCCCCTCTCTCATCGCATGTGCATGTGTGTGTTGGCGTGCCTGGGCGCCAGTGGAGGAGGGGCATGGCGCTGGCGTCGGAGGCGGTGGTGGAGGGCATAACGCTGGAGGGCGTGAGGGCGCTGAGGGACGCCGTGAGCGCCACGGTGCACGATGTGCTCTACTACATGAGCCCCGCCTACTGCCAAACCATCATACACTCGGTCCGTGCATGCACCGAATTGCACCGCACTGCACTGCACACATATTCACTCCGGTGCTCTGAAGCTTGCTACTGTTCCTACAGGCACTGCTCCCTCTGCTGCCTCTACTCCATCTGCCTCTCTAATCCAGCCCCTGCTATCGCCTGCCTGCCATCCACTTGCTGTGTTTCAACATCCATCATTCGTTCACTCTCTTTCGTTCACTTTCTTCCATCCCTCTCCTCCTCTCCTCCCCTGTGCCCCCCTTCCCCCACCCCCCCAGCTGACCTCCTCTCTGAACCGGCTGTACCGCAAGTTCAAGAGGCGCAATCCGCTGTTCAGCGGGCGCGTGTCGGTGTTCGGGCACTCGCTGGGCTCCGTGCTGCTCCACGACATCCTCTGCCACCAGCCGCCCCTCCCGCCCCTCCCGCCCTCGCCGCCCCTGCTGCCCCACTCGCGGCTGCCGCCGCCGCTGCTGGCAGATGGTAGAGGCCTGGGGGCGATGCAGAGCGGGGTGGGGAAGGAAGGGGACGATGGGGGATGGGGGGATGGGGAGGGGTGGAGTGAAAGTGAGGGTGCAGAATCGCCTGTGGCTGTCTCTGTGACTGACCCACCCATGGTTCCTGCACGTGATGGGGATCTGCTTGCACTTGCCCCACAACGCCTTCCTGCTGCACCTGATGCTGTGTCACCTGCACCGGAGCCTGAACCAGCACCTGAGTTTGTATCTGACGTTGCACCTGCACCTGTGGCTGTGTCTGAGCCAGCAGCACCACCTGAAGCATGTGCTGCCGCGCCTGTGCCCCTGGCTGGGGACACACGTGCCTCAACACCCTCTCTCCCTGCCACCACCACTGCCAGCCCGGCCATGCCTCAAGGCCCCACGCCCACTAGCGATGATGACTGCAGCCGTTGGGGGGCTGGGTGCATGCCGGTGACAAGCAGGGCCATGCACGGTGCAGGAGGAGAAAAAGGGATCGAGGCGGGGGCACACGAGGAGGGGGAGGGTGGTGCAGTGGCGGAGCAAGGAAGGGCCTGGGAAGATGGAGCTCGAATGCAGGGAAGGGGCGGGAGTGATGGGCAATCAGAAGCCTGTGGGGCAGTGGAGGCGGACACAGAGACAGCAGAGCAATTGAGGCGCAAGGTGAGACGCGCTGTGTGTGTGTGGTGGGGGCTGCAGTGTGTGGTGGGGGCTGCAGTGTGTGGTGGGGGCTGCAGTGTGTGGTGGGGGCTGCACGGCGTGTGAGTTGTGCCACCATTTCCTCAACTCCCACTCACTCCTCTAATCCCCTTGCTCCCTTAGTTGCGGAAGGCGCATCTAGCGTCTTAGACGCGTCCGTCTAGACGCAGCGTCTAAGACGCTAGACGCTAGATAGTATAGATTGGACGCAGTATTTGACGGAAACCCGGGCAGGCCTAAAAAAGTGTTCGGGCACCAAATCAGGTCCCCCGTCAGGTTCCCCATCAGGTTCCCCATCAGGTTCCCCATCAGGTTCGCCATCAGGTTCGCCATCAGGTTCGCCATCAGGTTCGCCATCAGGTTCGCCATCAGGTTCCCCATCAGGTTCCCCATCAGGTTCTAATGGCGTGAAATTGAATTTCGCGTCGAAATGGCGAATTTCAATTTCGCACGCGTGAATATTTTCAATTTCAATTCCGGGCTGTCCGAATTTTTTTCGCCCAAGCGTCTTGCGTCTAAAAGTGCGTCTAGCGTCTTCCGCAACTCAGCTTGCACCCAACACCCCTCCACCTTGGCTTCGCCACATCCTATTTACCCTTGTCCTCCTCCCCTTCCCCTCTTGCCCCGCTCAGCTGGGCGAGCTGCAGAGGGAGGTGGAAGCGTGGCGGGCCGCCTTCCACCACCTCGCCTCCTCACTCCCCCACGTGCCTGCTGCTCGCCCTGCATCCCTGTCGCCATGCCTGCACCACACTGCTCCCCCATGCCGTCGCGCCTCTCCTCCGTCCCTGGCCCCTCAGCCCCTGCACCCCCCTGCTTCCACCACCGCCCTCCTTGCTCTGCCACCCGCCCCTCCTGCTCTCCTCCTCCCAACACCATTATCGCCACCAGCACCATCGCCTGCGTGCCCCCCCACCAGTCAAGCCACCAGCCCTGCGACAACGCCTGTGCAGCCGTCCTCGCCCCCTCTGCCAGCCGCCCCGCTCCCCTGCCCTGCCAGTACCTTGAGCCTTCCTTCTCATTCCACTGCCAGCTCTCCTCGTGCTGCCCCTACAGGCAATGCATGCGTGGTGGGCGCAGGTGACATACTGAAGGGGGACGGGGGTGAGGCGAGCATAGGCAGCCGGGCAGAGGCGGGAGGGGGTAGACAGGTAGCAGGAGCAGGGGAGAAGGCGAAGGATGGGGAGGGTGTGGTTGTGGGGGCATGCGGAGGGGAGGGGCGAGGAGGCAGGAAACGCAAGGGTGGTGGAGGAAAGGAGGGAGATGGGAGCTGTGTAGGGAGAGGAGGGGGTGTGTCGAGAAGAGGAGTGGGTGCAGTGGAGGAGGGGTCAACGAGATGGAAGAGCACGGAGAGGAGGGCCAGGGAGGTGGGCGAGACGAGCAGACAGAGGAGGAGGAGGCGGTTGGAGGGGAAGGAAAAGCTCGCTGCTTCTGCTGCAGTTGATGCTCGTGATGCGGCTGGGGCTGGGGCGAGTGGGGAAGCTCTGGGATGTGAAGCACGCATGGGGAGAGGGGCGGATGAGGCGGCGAGGGACGAGGGTGGGGAAGGGATGGGTGGAGCAGTGGGGCAGGCACGGTGTGAGGCAGAGGCAGAGGCAGAGGCAGATGCAGAGGCAGAGGCAGATGCAGAGGCAGAGGCAGATGCAGAGGCAGAGGCAGAGGCAGATGCAGAGGCAGAGGCAGAGGCAGATGCAGAGGCAGAGGCAGAGGCAGGAGTGGAGGCAGGGAGGGTGGTGGAGGTAAGGAGTAATGGCGATGGAGTGCGAGGCTACAAGGGATGCAGTGCGGGTTGCGAGGGACGCAGGGGGTGTGGTGAGAGAAGCAGGGAGGAGGGTGGGGAATGTGGGCATGACGAGCAGGGCAGTGAGTGTGGCGTGGCATGCGCTCAAGTTGCAGTGGTGCCAGCGATAGAGGGGGGCGGTGGGCGATGTGCGGGGGAGGGGCATGGGGAAGGCAGTGGGGAAGGGCGAGTGCATGGGGGAGAGGGGCTGCATGGGGATGCGCTGTCTCATGGGGATGCACCCAGTTACGGGGATGTGGTGGTTAGCTGTAGGTTGGAGTGGAAGGAGGGAGAGGGCCGTGCAGAGGGCCGTGCAGAGGGCCGTGTGGAGGGCCGTGGAGAGGAGATGGGTGGTGCAGCTGGTGCTGTGGAGAGTGGTGGAGAGGCGCGGCTGGGTTGGGAAGAGACACATGAAGGCGGGGAAGAGACGCATGAAGGCGGGGAAGAGACGCATGAAGGCGGGGAAGCGGAGGGCGGAAGAATGGGAAGAGAGTTGCTGGGAGAGGATGGAAGAGCGGTGGGGGATGGGGGAATTTTGGAGGATAAGGGAACAGCTGGAGAGGGGTTGGGGTGGAGTGCGAGTGAGACGCTTGAAAATTCAAGTGCGAGAGAAGGGCATGTGGGGGGAGGGGGGACACCGGTAAAGGAGGGGTTGGATGAGAGAGAGGTGGAGAGAGAAGAGCGAGATGGCATGGAGGCTGCTGCAGGGGTGGGAAGAGGGAGGGGCACAGCAGGAGCGGCAGGGTGGAGGGGCGAATCCCGGGCACAAGGGAGAGGCGGCGGCAGAGCAGCAGCATCGCGGGCGCCGCCGCGCCAGCATGCACCGTCCATCCGCTATGGCCGCCTTCTGTTCCCTGTGAGCTGCTCTCCTCACCCTCCTCCCTGCTTCTTGTCCCTCTCCTCATCCTCTTTGCTCGCCTAACCCTCTCATCCCCCCCCCTCCACCCCCCATCCCCTCCCCCCCCCACCCCCTCCACGCGTCCACAGGTGGACACGTTCTTCCCAATGGGGTCGCCCCTCGGCCTCTCATCACCCCGCTCCACCCCCCATTCCCTCCCCATCCCCTTCCCTCTCCACCCCCCACCCCCTCCACGCGTCCACAGGTGGACACGTTCTTCGCGGTGGGGTCGCCCCTCGGCCTCTTCCTCGCTCTGCGCAACATTCGCCTCGGCGATGGCGGTGAGGACACAAGGGGGGAATGGGGAGTGAGGCAGGTCGTTTGCAGGGGGGTGAGCTGGGATGGGGTTGACTCAACATGAGGTTCAGGCTAGTATATATAACGGGCATGCTAGGATAAGCAGGCACAGTCAAGCATGTGCCACTGTTCTCTCCCCCCCAATCACCCCATGCATGAGCAGCAGGCAGGGACAGTGCGCGGTACTGGGGCATGGAGGGCGTGCAGGAGGAGCTGCCAGCGTGCCGCCATGTGCTCAACATCTTCCACCCCCACGACCCTGTCGCCTACCGGTCAGTCAGTTCCCCACCACCCCCTCGCCTACCCGTGGGTTGCACACGTGTGGTGCTGGGGCGTGCATGTGGCCATTGCTGCGCCTACATGCATGCATGTTGCCCACTGCCGTGTGCTCTCGCCATTCGACCCCCCTTCCACTGTGCCACGTGTCACGTGCAGATTGGAGCCCTTGGTGTCGCCGCAGTTGGCGTCTGTCCCTCCGGTGCTCATGCCGTACCACCGCGGCCACTACCGCACACACATTGTAGTCAAGGTGAGGGCAGTGCACATCGCAGTCAAGGTGAGGGCTGTGCTGTGCCTCTTTCTGCATTATGCCTTCCCACCATGCCCTCCCAACCCGTGCTGTTCCTCATCCTACTTCCTTTCCTCCCATACCGCACCCCCATACGTCCCCATGCGCGCACCCCCTTTACTTGATGCGTGCAGCGTTTTTTCCAGCAGCTGAGAGACAGCCTGAGATGGCTGTACCATGCAGTGGTTTCACCACTGCAATATGTGCTGGTGAGTCATGGGAAGTGCTGTGATGCAATGTGAGGCAGTGAAGCGGTGTGAGGCGGTGAGAGGCTATTTGAGGCGGTGAGAGGTTATGTGAGGCAGTGAGAGGCTATGTGAGGCGGTGAGAGTCTATGTGAGGCGGTGAGAGGCTATGTGAGGGGGCATAATCCTGGTGCAGTGCTGCGAATGCTGTCTTAAAATGTGTGTGTGTTGTCACGTGGGATTCCCTCTTCCACCCATGCATCATAGCATCAGCATCATTTCAGCATCAGCATCATATCAGCATCAGCATCATATCAGCATCAGCATCAGCATCATATCAGCATCAGCATCAGCATCATATCAGCATCAGCATCAGCATCATATCAGCATCAGCATCAGCACATCAGCATCAGCATCAGCATCAGCACCAGCATCAGCATCAGCATCAGCATCAACATCAGCATCAGCATCAGCATCAGCATCAGCATCATATCAGCATCAGCATCAGCATCAGCATCATATCAGCATCAGCATCATATCAGCATCAGCATCAGCATCATCTCAGCATCAGCATCAGCATCATATCAGCATCAGCATCAGCATCAGCATCAGCATCAGCATCAGCATCAGCATCATCATCAGCATCAGCACATCAGCATCAGCATCAGCATCAGCATCAGCATCATATCAGCATCAGCATCAGCATCAGCATCAGCATCAGCATCAGCATCAGCATTAGCATCAGCATCAGCATCAGCATCAGCATAAGCATCAGCATCAGCATCAGCATCAGCATCCTCATCAGTATCAGCATCATATCAGCATCAGCATCATATCAGCATCAGCATCAGCATCATATCAGCATCAGCATCAGCATCATATCAGCATCAGCATCAGCATCATATCAGCATCAGCATCAGCATCAGCATCATATCAGCATCAGCATCAGCATCAGCATCAGCATTAGCATCAGCATCAGCATCAGCATCAGCATCATCATCAGCATCAGCACATCAGCATCAGCATCAGCATCAGCATCATATCAGCATCAGCATCAGCATCAGCATCAGCATTAGCATCAGCATCATATCAGCATCAGCATCAGCATCAGCATAAGCATCAGCATAAGCATCAGCATCAGCATCAGCATCAGCATCATCATCAGCATCAGCATCAGCATCAGCGTCAGCATCAGCATCAGCATCAGCATCATATCAGCATCAGCATCATATCAGCATCAGCATCAGCATCAGCATCAGCATCATATCAGCATCAGCATCAGCATCATATCAGCATCAGCATCATATCAGCATCAGCATCAGCATGCATCTCACGCCTCTCCCTACCTCTCGCCTCCTCCCTGGTTGCTCCCTTCTCACTCCCCTCAACCCATCCCCACCCCTGCCAGAGGTCCGCATGGAGTTTGCTCTGCTTCGCCCCTCCACCTCCTCGACCCGCGCCGGGTATGCACCCACCTCCACCCAAACGCACCCACCTCCACCCAAATGCACCAACCTCCCCCCGTATGCACCGAGCCCCACCCATCCTATGACATGCCATGGCCCCCACATCACATGCCCATTCAACCATCACCTGCCCAACCCTCCCTTACTGTCACCCTACTGTGCTGCGACTGCTTCTCTCATGGTCATAGCCACACCACACTGCCTGCTCCTCTTTCCATTCCCTCCTCCTCCTTCGGCCGCCCCTTCCCTTTGTCGGCCTGCTCTCCTCTGTCTCCTCCCCCTGTCAGCCCCCGACAGCAGTGGGATGCCGGTGTTGGATGCGCGATCGCAGCACACGCTCACACTCCTCACAGGCTCTCCACACGGCCGTATCGACTTCATGCTGCAGGTGGGGCCTGGGGCCTGGGGGGGTGGGGGGGCTTGGGACGCTGCCGTGGCTGTGCTGTGCGCTAGAAAATGTATGTCATTGCATCGCTTGCAGCCGCACGCACATTAGCCTCATCTCTGTCTCCTGCTCCTTCCCCCCTTGCTCGCCAGGACCCCTCCTTCCAGCATCAATACCTGCAGGCCATGAGCTGCCACTTGTGAGACTTACCGCCCCTTGCCTCTTGCCTTTCCGCATTCACTCTCGCCGTCCCTTTCTCCTGCCTGCATGACTGCTGTCGTGGCACCCTTCCATTCCTTATCTGCCGCCCACCCTTTGTAGTTGGTCCAATGCCATTCATCCTTGAGCACCATTCCTCTCTGCTGTTGCTTGTGCCTCAGTGCCTGCCAATCTCCTCACCGTCATTTGCCACTCCCCTCTTCCCTCCCCCCTTACCTACCCTTTCTTCCGCGCCCTCCCTCCCTTCTCCCTCCCAGCGATGCATGGATAGACAAGGACATAGCGCTGCTGGTCATCCGCCACCTCTACCGCCATGTGCCTCGCCAGCCCCCTCCCGCCCGCCCTCCACCGCCCCTGCACGCTCACTTGGACCCCTCCTCCCCCGCGCCCTCTGCCACTGCCAGCAGCCCTCCCATCGACCCCTTGTTCTTCTCACCTCCTCCCTCCCCCTCACGTCACCCCGTCTTCTCCTCCCTCTCTGCGCCCACCTCTGCTCGCTCCACGCCTCGCTGCCTCTCAGCAGACCTCTCCTCCTACTCCATCCCCTCCCTCCTCCCCTCCCACCCCTCCTCCTCGCCCCTCCCTCGCCCCCGACCCTTCTCGCCCCTCTCAGCCCCGCCCACGCCCCATCCTCTCCCACCGGCATCGTTCCCTGCATCAGCACCACCAGCAGCACCCATCAATGCTGTGACGACATCTTCCACCGCTCCCAACCCATCTGCAACCCACTCGACCTTGCCTTCGCGCACCCCCCCCTTGAGTCAGGTGCGGGGGCACCAGCGCAGCGGCAGCAGCAGCAGCCTGCTGGGGCGACTGTGCGACGCTGTGAGCCCCCTCGAGCATGCTGCTGCTGCAGAGAGGCATGCAGGGAGGCACACCGGGAAGATGGTATCTGGGGCAGGTGCTGGTGGTGGTGGGAATGGCAGTGGTGGTTTGCAGCAGCGACAAAGAAGGCAATGGAGGGAGGGGGGTGTGGCGCATGGGAGGAGGGCAGGGGGAGGAGAGGAGAGTCAGGGGAGGGTGAGCAAGGTGGGGGCAGTGAAGAGGTGTGTGAGGCGAGTGCAGGCACACATAGAGGAGGGGGAGGATGAGGGTGAGGACGAGGGGGAGGAGGATGATGAGGAGGATGTGGCATTCACATTCTCTAGTTGGAGGGCGGCTCACCTGCTGCGAGTGCAGCTGCTGCTGTGACCACTGACCACACTAGTGCATCACACCTGTACTTCTAGCGATTCATGTGTGTGTGAACCATATTGCTGCAAGTGTGGTGTATATACAACGCTTGAATGCACTACATTTATATTCATTAATATGCAGAGGCGTTCACTGTTCTGCTTCCACCCTGGTGGTCATTATTACCTATTGGCTTGGGTATAGAAATTCTCTCCTTGCCATCTCTGCACAGAAAGAATGTGGCTCTGAATAACATAACAATATGTGATGAGTGTCCTGCACACTTACATACGGTACGATAACTGGGGGCTAGTTCTGGCCATACCAATCAGCATCCAATTGTCATGTGTCCAGCGCTTTCCAGCCTTATGAAAGTGGAGGCCAGGCACACAACACAAGGTCACACAATGTGTTTTCATTCCATAATAATGAAGCTGCATGCAATATTGCCACCATGTTGCCAGTGCCACGCTCACAGCTCCACCTGCTGCATGTCATCAGCCCCTGGGAAGCCGTTGCTGCTGCCATCCACTGCAGCACCACCCCATGCTCCACTGCCTGCAAACCCTTGCACCGCTCCTACTGCTCCCAGTGCTCCCGGTGCAACCTGTCCACCCGGTGGCAGCATGGGAGGCGCAGCTGCCATGTACCCCTGCGCTGCCCACACGCCCTTGTGCTGCTGCACCCCCGCACCTCCTTGCCCCCCCACTCTCTGCCCCGCCCTGCCCGACCCCCCTGCTGCTCCCGGTGCTGCCCCAACCGCCACACCTGCAGCATGTGCCAAGGGCCCAGGCGCAAGAGCATCAGGTGCTGCTTCCGATTCACCTGGCCCACCGCCTGCCACGGCAGCCCCACCTGATGGTTCCACTCCATTACCCACCCCTTCCGTGCCACTGGCGTCCCCTCCCTGAGTCGTAGCGGGCAGGGGTCATGACGGCCATGGGGGCAGCAGGCATGAAGATCTTGGGTGGCCCTCCTGCTGCGGGCGTGGCTGCTCCGGGGGCAGCACGCATGGGGCGCGGGATGGACGGCAGCAGCGACGCGGCAGGCGTGGGTGCGGGTGTGGCGCCCTTGTTGAATGTGTCCACGTACCTGCACCGATGGTGGGGGAGGAACGTGGGAACGAGAGTCAACCAGAGGGGTGAATAGGAGGTGAGTGGCTAAAGGAGAAAAAACACTATCAGGTTGACGTGGAATCAGCAGATTGCCCATTGCCCCCTTCCCACAGCAGCCAGGGCCCCACCAGCATAGCAGAGCATGGCATGGCAGAGCGGAGAGGAGGGGTGCCCACCTGGAGCGCACTGCACTGCGCCGCCCAAAGCTGCCAGCATAAGCCAGTGGAGGGCCGGGCTTCGCTGCTGAGCTGGCCGGTGCTGACGTGGAATCAGCAGCTGGCGCAGCACCAGCTGCTGACTGGACCGCTGATGGTGCAGTTGCAGCAGCAGGCGGCGCACCGTCAGCAGCAGCAGCAGGAACAGCAGGGGTGGTGGCAGGAGGGTCAGTGGAGGAGGCGGCGGCGGGGGCAGCGGGGGCGAAGGCGAAGGCGGTGGGGGGCGGGGCGAGGGTGGTTTCGACGACCTCGTCCTCCTTGCCTCGCTCCACCCACCGCTTCAGCTTCTCGTTGAAATAGAACGTGTTCTCCCCGCCCAGCTTCGCCTGCCATGCCCGTGCACAAGGGGGGGAGAGGCGCGAGAATGGAAGCAACAGCATGTCGGGAATGTGTGGGTAAGGGCACTAACAGAGAGACAGGAAGGCTGCAGTGAACGACACTGCAGACAGTTACAAGCACAAGGATTCAGCATCCACCTGCCATACCTCCCTTTCCCACAACCCTCTTCACCCATCCCTTCCGCCCTCCCCTCTCACCTGTTTCCCACTTGCACCTCCTCCCCCTGAGCTCCCAGCAGCAGAGCCGCCCCCCCAGAAGTAGCCAAAGAGCCGCCCCAGCCCCTTCCCCCCTGGCGCTGCTGGCGGCTTGCCCCCTCCGCCCTTGCTGCCCTTGGCCTGCCGATGGGGTGGGAGAAGGCAATGGGTGCAGCAGACACGAAAGGCAAGGGAGGAGGGTGAGACACGGAGGCACATAATGCCCATCTATGCAGTGTCACAACATGGTGCCATCATGTATCATACTTCATACATCATGTATCATGCGTCATACATCATGTATCATGCGTCATACATCATGTATCATGCGTCATACATAATGCATCATACATCATGCATCATGTACATGTATCATGTTGCATGCACTGTGCACCATGCACCCCCCTCATCTCACCGGCATGGCCTGCCCCATGTCAGGAGCTGAAGCACTACGTTTGTTGGACATGCCAGCGCCAGTAGTGAGCAGCCCCTCCACTGCCTCCTCTGTCACCAGCCCCATGGACGATGACGTGCCCAGCAGCGATGCTGATGAGGATGATGCCGACGGCCCACCGCCCCCACTCCCATCGCTGCTTCCTCCCGCCTTCCCACCCGCCCCAGTGAGTGTGGCATCAGTGCTCCCCTCAGCCATGTCCTGCGGGCTCACTTTGCTCGGGTGCCCGCCTAGCAGCCCAGCCAGGGAGAATCGGCTGCGCGGGGCAGCCTTCTTGGCCGCAGGTGCACCTGGGGCGGGTAGATCTGCAGCGGAGGCCGACTGGGAGCGGGGCACAAGGGCGGGCTGGGCCTGCGGCACGAGGTCAGTGTCACCCTCGCCGCTGGGGGACTCACGGATGGGTGTGAGGTGGCCTGACCCCCACCCTGCTGCACTGGGCGTGCCGTGCCACTCCGCTGCAAACGCTGCCATGGAGAGCGGCTCGTCTTCCTTGATAGCTGGCGTCTGAGATGCAGAGGGCACCGCCTCCCCTGCCCTGCTCGCTCCGCCTGCCGCTGCTGCAGCTGCTGCATTGTTATCCCCCACGGGTGTGCCGTAGGCCGGGGAGAGGGAGATGTTGGGCATGTCAGAATTTGCGGCAGCAGGAGTGGAGGAGGAGGAGAGGGGAGTACAGGCAGCGGAGTCAGAGGTATCAGATAACACCTCAGCCGCTGCATCGTGCCACTCGCCCTCCCCACCCCCCTCCCGCTCTCCTCCTTGCTGCTGCTGCACTTCACCTGCCCCTGTGCCTGTCTGCTGCTCCCCTTGCTCCTTCCCTGCTTGCGCTCCCCCGCCTGCCACTCCGTATCCCTCGCCCCACTGCTGCATCCCCACCTGCTCTTGCTGTGGCTGTTGCTGTTGCTCACCCCAAGCCTGTGTCTCATGAGACCACCCTTGCTGCTGTTGCTGCTCACCCCATGCCTGCTGCTGCTCTGACCAGGAATGTTGTTGCTGCTGCTCCTGACCCCACTGGTGCTGCTGCTGCTGCTCCCACTCCTGCCACTGTTGCTGCTGCTGCTGTTGCTGCTGCTCCCATTGCTGCCACTGCTGCTGCTGGTCTTGCTGGTAACCACTACCGTAACCACCATACTGCTGCACAGCCACCTCGCTCTGCCGCACCTGCCCTGCCTGCCCACCCCCCTGCCCCCATTCACTGCCACCACCTGCCGTCCCTTGCACACCAACACTCGTCCCTCCGCTCCACGCAATGCCCTGCTCCCCTCCCATTCCACCCTGTGCCCCCGACCCTGCTGCTGCCGCACCACCAGACCAGCCATCTGCCACCCCACCACCACCAGCCATCGCAGCAGCAGCAGCACTGTAGCTGCTCGCCACACCACCTTCACTACCCGGAGCTGCATCACTCGCACCCTGCCCCTCCACCAAGCCTACCAGGTTCGGCCCGGACGCGCTGTGCAGGCCCGGGGACGATGTGGACGCAGGAATGGCGCGCTTACCCAGACCCCACCACCCCCCTCCCCCTGTCGTACTAGCCTTCCCAGCCACCCCCAGGTTCGGCGCCGAACCAAACCGAGACGACTCGCCCAAGCCTGGCTTGCTCCCAGCCCCTCCGGGCACAATGTCCCCCATGGCGCCCCCACCCAATGCCGATGCGACACCTGGCGCAAGAGGCGTAGCAGCAGGCCCCCCACCCACAATCTTCCTAGCGCCTCTATCAAGGAAGCTCATAAGGTCCCCAAACACGCGTGCTGCCGCCACCCCGCCCCCCCCTGCCCCCTGCACGTGCACCTTGAGGCGCTCCTCCATCTGCTCCGCTGCTGCCCTCCACCCCTCCACCTCCACCGCCACCCCCCGCCCCCTGCCACCCGCCTTGAGCATCTTCAGCACCGTGCTACAATACTTGAGGGCGGCGCCCGCGCGGCCTGCTTCGGCCAGCATGGCGGCGTAAACAAGCTTGAAGGGCATCAGGGGCAGCAGCACGAACTGAGGATTGCCGAGAACAAACGCATACTCCAGCACCTCACTGCGCTGAATGGCCTGCGCTGTCACAAACGTGCGTGGGTGCTTCAGGTGGTCTACACCCAGCAGGCACATGCGTGCCGAGGAGGAAAAGGGCTCCAGACTGCCTGCTGCGACGAGGTAGCAGATGTGTGCTGCGGCCACGTCCCCCCTGAGGCGCCACAGGCAGTCGCCCAGGTGGGAGATGACCCTCTCATCGCCACTCGTGCGCGTTGCTGCCATGAGCGCCAGATTCTCCCTCCACTCCGCCACCATCGCCCTCACACCCTCGTCGCTGCTCCCACTGCTGCCAACAGCAGCAGCAGCAGCAGCAGCAGTACCAGCAGCACCAGCACCACCGACGCCTGTCTTGGTGGCATCAGCAGCGGCACCGGTGGCAGCGGCAGCAGAGGCAAACACGGCAGATGGCTGCTGAGTGAGTAGCAGAGTGAGTGTGCGCAGAGGGGCACCAGGGGCGAACTGCTGTGACGCCATGGCATGTGCAGTGGAGAGGAAGAGGCGCGAGTCAGTAGGCCCGCCCATGTGCTGCGCGAGCAGCAGCGCCAGCCCCCACAGGTGGCCCGCCTTGGCTGCCTCCAGCGCCTGCACATGCCTCCCCGCCACCAGATGCGCCTTCACCTCCTGTGCCGCCGCCTGTGGGGGGCATGGGTGCGGTGAGGGGATGACGGGGGTTGGGATAGGGGAAGAGCAGAGGGCATGTGTATTCAGAGGACAGGGCGTGCAGGGGAAGGGAAGAGCTGGCAGGCAGCGCAAGGGAATCGTCAAACGAGACAGGGGGGCAGGCAGGAGGGATGTGGAAGTAGTGCAGGGGAGGTGCGCAGCACACCTGGACAGCAGGTTCAGTGGGAATGGGCAGTTGGAGGTCCGACACGTGGGCAGCGGCAGAGGCGGCAGCAGGCAGGGGTGACCACGCAGAGGCGTATGGCACCATGGGAGCTAATGCACCTGCCGGCGCTGCCACCGAGGGAAAGGACCCGGTTGTAGCGGCAGCGGGCGTGGCTGTCGCGGTGCTGGCTCCAGATTCTGTCGCTGCCAGTACCTTGGCTAGCTCTGCCTCTGGTGATGACTCGCCCTGCCCATGACACATGACACATGATACATGACAAGTGGTACACGGCAAGTGGTATATGGCACATAGGTGCATGCATGGTGAGGTGAGGTTACAGACAGGCAGCTCTAGCAACATAAAGTGTAAGATAACCATCCTTTGGACAAGAAACATGGCATGACCATGAAGGCTGCGTCACAGGCAGCAAGGATGATGGCAACACACGGAAGGGAAAGGGAGAAACTCGAGAGGACGACAATTGGACGAATGGGAGCACAGGAGTGGCATGCTTCCCCACCCACCTACCTGCCACGCTGCACGCACCTGTGCGGAGCGGCTGCCCATGCCATCCCTCCTGAGCTGCCCGTAGAACTGACACGCCACTCGCAGCACCCGCCACAGCAGCGCCACACTCCCTGCCCTCTCCGCACCCCCTGCACCCCCACCGCCCGCTCCCTCCGCCTCCTCCTCCTCGCCGCTCCGCTCCGCCCGCTCCTCCAGCCACTTGCTCAGCTCCTTGGCAGACATGCCGCCAGCTGTCAGCGGCCCATTGGGCGCGTGCTTGCCGGTGAGCGGGGCGAGGTAGAGCGCGCCGGCGGTGCTGGCGGCCGTGGAGGCGCCATGGTGGGCGGCGAGGCTCAGCAGGTGCGGCAGGGGCAGCACCTTCAGCGCCCGCTGCACTGGCGGGGACAGCTGCGGTCATTGGGCAGGCGGAGGGGGAGAGGCGGGCGGGGATTGGGAGGGGAAGGGAGTTGGGGAAGGAAGAGTGGGGGAATGATCGGGCAGGTGAATTAAGGGTGATATAAGCAAGGTGATTCTGGAATGAGCACATCAGTAAGCAGCAAGTGATGCAAAGCGAGGATTGCAGCACGGGTATTGCTTTCAAAAATCCTCAGAAGCAGCACGGGAGCAGCACTGACCTCCACCTGCCCCTGTGACCCCATGGTCTGTCCAAGCGAGCTACCAGGCACCACCACGGCCGCCCTGCCTCCGAACCCAAACGCCAGCACCGTGTGTGGCGGGCGGCCTGCTGACGACAGCACCGCCTCCGCTGTGCTGGCGGGTGGCACGTGGTTGTACTGCACCGGCTGGTACTGCTGTTGCTGCTCGTACTGCCGATACTGGTACCCCTGCTGATACCCCTGGTACCCCTGTGCATACCCCCCAACTCCTGCCGGCTGCTGTGCTTGCTGCTGCTGCTGCGAGTATGGGGCAGATGGCACCATGAGCCCCACCCCAGGCTTCCCTGCCGTGCCTGGCACCCAGGGGGCGAGTGGTTGTGGCTGGCTGTAGCCAGGATCGGGCTGGCTGTAGCGCGGGCCTGCAGGGCCGTACCCAGGGTCGGGCTGAGACGACCCACCAGGGTAGCTGCTGCCGCCCTGCGCCTCTGCTGCACCGCCCTCCCCCCATGGGGCAGGGGCGGGCAGGAACGGCTGTGGCTGCATGGCCACTGGCGGCTGCTGCAGAGGCTGTGAGGCGGCACTGTCTGGTGGTGAGGGGTAGGAGGATGCACCCTCTGCTGCCACTGCTTCCCCGTTAACCCCTACTGCAGCAGTCACTGCCTCTGTGCCGCCATACTCTGTGGCTTGTGTTTGTACCTTCCCTTGCTGTGCGTGGTGCTGCTGCGGGTAGTACCAAGCATTGTACGCGCCATACTCTGTCTGCCCCCACTGCCTCCACTCCTGCTGCGCCCACGCCCCTGAGTCGCCCTCCCCTGCTCCACCTGCCACCTCGCCTCCTGCACTCGCCTCCTCCGGAGCAGCAGCTGCCTCTACCCCCTGCGCGCCACCCTGCTCGCCCAGCCCCTCCCCACCTGCCTCTGCGCTCACGTCCTCAGTCCCAGCAGCAAGAGGATCGGGAGGTGGGGCGAGGCCAGGGAGGGGGGGAGCTGCCTCAAACGACAGCTGCATGGCAGGCTCGCCCTGAGACGCCCCCGCACTGCCTGCATCTGCAGCAGCTTCCCCCTCTGCCTCCCCTTCCTTGGGCACCGTTTCTTCAAACTGAGCCCACTCATCCGCCTCCGCCGCCCCAAACCCTGCACCCACTCCACCCGCACTCCCTGCACTCCCCCCCGCTGCTGCCACGCTGCCAGCCATCGCTGCTGCCCCATCCCCTGCGCCACCCACCGCCTCCACAACAGCAGCAGTAGCTTCGTCTGCAGCAGCAGCTGCGCCTGCACCAGAAGGCACCTGCTCGTCCGTGGGCAGCCACTGACCCACCACAGGGTCCCACCTCCACCCCGGGTACTCCGTCGCTATCACTCCCCCCTCAGCACCGCCTTCAACTCCCCCGGCCTCCCCACCAACAGCTTCCACACCCGAGCTCTCTGCTGCTTCACCCACCGCCTCCACTGCAGCTACCTCTGCCGCCTCACCCTCGTTCACAGCTGCCACTGCCGCCACAGCTTCAGCCCCATCAGCAGCAGCCTCTGGCTGGTCGTCCGGCACCCACTCGCCCAGGAGGCCATCCCAACGCCACCCGGGGTACTGCAGCGCGATGGCCTCCCCATCTGCTGCTGCTGGCGCCGCCTCGCCCACCTGCCGCCACTCGCCAGTCACAGCATCCACCACCCACCCCGGGTACTCCGTTGCAATGGCGTCGCCCCCTGCTGCCTCGCCACTAACCGCAAACGTCTCTGCCTGTGCCTCGGCCTCTGGCTGTGCCTCTCCACCCGCCACCTCAGTCCCAGGCCCATCTGCACTCAACACTGACGTGCTTATCCCGCCCTCAGCTTCTGTCGACCCACCCTCTGCTTCCCATGGGGCTGCCACAGCAACTGCCTCCACCACCTCCTCCTTCCAAAACACGTCTCCTTTGCCTGCTGCACCTTCCTCTCCTGCTAACCCTTCTTTTTTTGGCGTCCCCTCTTGCCCTGCTGCACCCTCTCCCCCAGTACCCTCTGCCTCTGCTACACCCTCTGCCTCAACAGCCACCTCAGGCCCAGACGTTGCCAGTGAGTCCACAACCGTCCCTGGGGCCTCTGATAGGTCCTGCTCCTCAAACACCCCATCGCCCTCCCCCATCCCCATCCCCGCCCCAGCTACTGCTGCATCTACTGCTGGTGCTGCTGCCGCCTCAAGCACTGCACTGCCTTCTTCGAACCCACTCACACCAGCTGTAGCAGCATCAGCTGCTCCCGTGACCTCAACTGCTCCACCAACGTCAGCTGCTTCAGCCGCCTCTGCTACAGCGGGTTGCTCGTCTGTGGGCACCCACTGGCCCGTGATTGGGTCCCACATCCACCCGGGGTACTGCGTTGCTATCGCCTCGTACCCTGCTGCCTCTGCACCCTCTGCCTCTGCCGCCACCACTCCTGCTGTCCCTCCACCGCCCTCTCCCACTGCCTCCTCTGCACCACCTGCGCCCACCCCCAGCACATCACCATAGCCTCCCTCCGTGGGCCCTGCCTCTGCCCAAAAGGGCTCCTGCGAAACACCCTCTGCCTCTGCTGTGACTACAGCTGTCGTCTCCTCGGCACCCACACTAGCAGCAACACCAGCAGCACCAGCATCCACATCAGCTGCTGCTGCATCTGCCATTGCATCCAGCGCCGTCAACTCTCCCTGCTGCTGCCCGTCTGCCCACCCCTCCACCGCTCCTTCCCCCACCTCCTGCTCTCCCTCTCCCTCTTCTGCCCCCCCAACTGCCTCCGAAGCCTCCACCACTGGAGCACTGACCTCAGCTTCAGTCGCAGCCACAACACCGCTATCCGCAAATCCGTCTGCCTCCGCCTTGCCATCCGCCTCCCCTCCTGCACTACCTGCCTCCCCCTCCATCGCCTCCCCCATAGCCTCACTCACCACCTGCCCCTCAGCCTCAAACCCCACAAACGACCCCTCAATGCCTCCCTCAGCCGCATCTGCCGGCCAGTCTACAGCTGCCCCACTCACCTCACTCTCAGGCCACCCCTCCCCTGCCACCACGGCTGCTGCGCCCCCTGCTTCACCACCTGCCGCCATTCCTTCCGCCCCTACCAGAGCCACAGACTCACCCATGTCGCCAGCAGCAGTAGCAGAGTCAGCAGCAGCAGAGTCGGCAGGTACAGCCGGCTGCGTGCCTGTGAACACCCACTCGCCCGCCACAGCGTCCCACTCCCACCCAGGGTACTCCGTTGCAATAGCCTCACTTCCTGCTGTCTCCGCACCCTCAGTGAATGCACTTTCCACTGCACCCGCTGCTGTTGCTTCACTGCCTGCCCCGTCTGCCTCCCAACCCTGTGCCTCCACTGCTTCTCCTCCTGCTGACAACACTTGCTCCTCTGGCACCGGATATTCTGCTGAATCTCCTACAGGATCCTCAACCACACCCTCAGCTGAATCCACTACCTGCGTTGCAACTGCCTCACTCTGACTACCGTCGCCCTCTGCGCCCCCTGCTGCTGCATCTCCCATTGCCTCTGCAGCGGCCCCTGTGCCCTCCTCTCCCGCTACTGCATCGACCACCTCCCCCTCGCCTGCTTCCATCCACTCCGAACCCTCCCCGCTTGAGGCTACAGGTTCCCTTGCTTCAGACCCCGGGACCCACTGCTGCTCCCCCGCAATGGGCTCACCTGATGCAGCAACTGCCGCCTCTGTGCCTTCAGCTACAGCCTCCGCTGCTACAGCGTCTGCTGCTACAGCCTCTACTGCTAGCGCCGTTCCAGCAGCAGCATCAGCCAAGTCCGGAGCAGCTTCAGCCCCATCCGCATCTGCCACAGCAGCAGCATCCGGCTGGTCATCCGGCACCCACTGGCCAATAAGGCCATCCCAGCGCCACCCGGGGTACTGCAGCGCTATAGCATCCCCCTCTGCTGCCGCACCGCCAGCCCCATCTGCCGCTGCCGCTGCCACCTCGCCCACCTGCCGCCACTCGCCTGTCACTGCATCCACCACCCACCCCGGGTACTCCGTTGCAATAACCCCCGACTCACCAACTACTGTTGCCTCTACTCCTTGGCCCTCCGCCTGCTGCCCCTCCTGTTGCTGCTCGTTCTCCCATGCCGCTTCACCTGCCATCTGCCCCTGCTCCCCTGCCATCCGCATGTCAGCATCACCCTGCCCCTCGCCTCCCTCCGCGTCAAACGCACCATGCCCACCCTCGCCCACACCACCCGCGCTCCCCACTTCCATACCTGCTGCGTCTGTCACCGCAGCATGTTCCTCAGCAACCTCCTCCCTCCCTGCCTCGCCTCCGTCACACACACGCAGCTCCGCCCCACTATCCATCCCCGCGCCCACCTGAGTGAGCTCAGAGGAGAGCGGGGGAACGATGGGTTGGGAGTCAGGGAGGAGAGGCAGAGGAGGAGCAGCATCGAAGGAGAAGGGCTGCAGAGTGGGACTGCTCGGCAGCTGCTCACCCCCACTCTCTCCTGCTACGCCCTCCTGCGCAATGCTCTCAGTCTGTTCCTTGCTCTCATCACCTCCTGCTGCCATTGGCACCGGCTGAAACTCAGATGAACCAGCAGCAGGGACAGGTAGCAGGACGTCAGCTGACTCTGCCACTGTCATCTCAGCCTGGCCTGCCACATCTGTCATCTCCTCCACATGCATCCCCTCTGCTCCATCCCACCCACCCGCCACCGCCTCGCCTCCCCCTTGCCACGCTTCTGCCTGCGGAGCTTCAGGCCAAGCGGCTGACGGCTCAGCAACGGCCGCATCACCCACTGCTGCTTCTGCTGCAGGAGCAACTTGCTCTGATACAACTGCCTCCATCACTGCTTGCTCCGTGGCGTCTGCTGCTGTAGCGTCGCCTGCTGCTGCTTCTGCTCCAGAATCCGCTTGTGCAGCAGCAGTGGCATCAGCTACAGCAGCGGTGTCAGCAGCGGCAGGAGGCACATAGCCCTCGATCTGCCTCCACTCACCTGCTGCGTAGTTCCAGTACCAGCCAGGGTACGCCTCTGCCCACTGCCGCTGCTGCTCCTCCCACTGCTCCGCTGTCAACTCCCCCTGACCTGCATACTGCCCCTCCCCCTGCCCCCCATACTGCCACTCCCCCTGCCCCCCATACTGCCCCTCCCCCTGCCCCCCATACTGCCCCTCCCCCTGCCCCCCATACTGCCCCTCCCCCTGCCCCCCATACTGCCCCTCCCCCTGCCCCCCATACTGCCCCTCCACCTGCCCCCCGTACTGTCCCTCGCCCTGGCCTGCATATTGCCCCTCGCCCTGACTCGCATGCTGCCATCCCGCCTGGCCGTCTTGATACGCCTGCCACGCCTGCCCCTCCTGCCCCGCCTCCCCGCCCTCCACCGCCATCTGCTGCTCTCCAACATACCCCTCGCCCGCGATCTGCTCCCCTGCGCTCTGCTCCCCCGCGCTCTGCTCACCTGCTCCACTCCACTGCCCTTCTCCCCCCTCCACGCCATCTCCACTTACCATCGCACCACCGGTCCCCTCGTCACCTCCCTCCACGGCTGTATCAAGCGCAGTGGCATCGGAACCAACACCAGGAGCCGTGGCTTCCCCCTGCCCATCCTCATCGTCTACCAGGTCAGCCCCAACAGCGTCAAAACCAACGGCAGCACCCGCACCAGCACCCGCACCAGCATCAGCAACAGCATCAGCCTCAGCATCAGCAGACATGAACCAAGCCGCCGCATCCTCCTCTTCCCGCTCCTCCACCTGCCCGCCCTCCACCTCACTCTTTCCCCCACCCACGCCAACAGCACCCTCTACAACCCTCGCAGAACCAGACTCCGCCAATCCTGAGCCATCAGCGCCCTGTGCACCCAGCAGCAGCTGCGCCGTGGGCCCTGCAAGGGCGGCAGCAGCGGCAGCAGCAGCAGCAGTGGGCGGGGCAGGGCGGGCAGCGTCGCGGTCCACAGCAGCAAAGAAGGCGGCAGCGTCCTCCTCACTGGCAGTGGCCTTGAGCAGGCGGGACGCAGCAGCCGACACTGCAGACGCCACCGACGCCATCATGGGTCCCCCCAGCCGCACTGCACTGCCGCTCGCCAGCGCTGCCATCACATCATCCTCTTCTTCTTCCTCCTCTTCCTCTTCGTCCTCCTCGTCCGCCAGTCCCCTCTGCAGCATGGCCAGCACACCCACCTCGCCCGACGCCCCCCCATCCGCGCCCCCCTCGTCCGCGTCCTCCGCCACGCCCCCAAAGTCCATGCTCACCAGATCCTCCCACCCCAGCTGCTTCCTCGCCCCACCTCCTCCCTTCTCCCTGCCGCTAGCCCCCAATTCTGCCCCAGCCTCCGCTCCGCCCTCGCCGCCCTCGTCCCCTCCGCCCATCCAAGAAGCAAAGCCAGCTGCGCTCGCCGCACCCCATGTGGGCTTGGCGCCGTCAGCAGCAGCAGCAGCAGCAGCAGGTGCTGCTGCTGGAGCAGCGGAGGCGGCAGTGGCTGGGTCCGCAGCTGCGCCTCCCAGCATGGAGAGCACGGGCATGGCGAGGCCCTTGAGGGCCAACGCGCCTGCACAGGGGCCAGAGGAAAGGGGCGCGTGAGACACGATATGTTGGTAAGGGGACTGGTGTCGGCTACAATGCAGTGAATGGGCTCACATGCACGCTCATGCATGCACACTCACATATGCACTCACAAATGCACACTCTCACACTTCTACATGAACACATGCCAAGCGCCACAGGCAACGAGGGCACCCAGCTCACCTTGGTTGATGACCTGTGACCCAAGCTTAGCGCCGGGGCCCTCGCGCCCTGCGCCAGCCTTGTCAAACAGGCTGCGGATCTTGCTCTCATTGCTCTCCTTGTCCTCCCCCACACAGTCCCCTCCCCGCCCGCTAACAGCTCCACCCACGCCCTCCTCTTTCACATCACCCCCCTCGCCCACCACCCCCTGCCCATCCTGCCCGCCCTGCACGCCTTCCCTGCGCGCGCCTGCACCATCCCCTGCCTCCTCCCCGGGCTGCCCCGTCAGCAGCACGTCAGACGACCACGCGGACACGTCAGACGCCGCCTTCACCAGCGACCCCAGCAGCGGCCACGCGCCCTCCCTCCGCCCCCCCGCTGTCGCCGGCCGCGCCATGCGCGCGCCCACTCCCCCCACCCCGAATCCGCTCCACGCATCCCCGCCCAGGCCTCCCCACCCTTCCCCGTGCTGCCTCCCCCCCTGCGCGCCCGCCTCTCCGCTCATGGCAGCGGAGCAAACGCCCTGGAAGCTGCTGGTGCGCGCATACGCGCGCTCCCCCAGGGGCCTCTCCGCCATGAATCTGTCCGCGATCCCCCAGTCATCACCCTCGTCTATGCTCCCCCACCCGTCCCCCTCTCCCGCCCAGCCCTCGCCGTGCCCACCGCCCCCGCCCTTCTTGCTCTGCCCCTTCCGCCGCTCGCCGTTGGCCTCCTCGCCTGCAGCCAGCCGCGCAGACGCGCCGGCAGCCACGTCAGCATGAGTACGACCCACCTTGGCGCCACCCTCCGCAGCATATCCCAAGGGGTCTTCCCGTCCGTTGGCCCACGCGCTGCCTGCCCATCCGCCGCCTTCAGCAGCGGGCCTCGTGCGCTGCTTCCTCACCTCCTGCGCCTGCTCCTCCGCCTGCCTCTCCCTCTCCCTGCGCTCCATCTCTTGCCTCTCGCGCTCTTTCTGCTCGCGCTCCCTGCGCTGCTGCTCCAGACGCTCCTGCCTCTCCTGCTCCCTCCTCTCTCGTTCTCGTCGCAACTGCTCCTGCCGCTCCTTCTTCTTCCTCTCTTCCTCTCGCCGGAGCCACTCTTGCCGTTCCCGCTCCTTCCGTTCCTCTTCCTTCCTTAATTCCTCCTGCCGTTCCCTCTCCTTCCGTTCCTGCTCCTTGCGCCTCTCCTGCTCCTTCTTCTCCTCCTCAATCCGCTTCTGCTCCCGCTTTTCCCACTCTAACCGCTCTCTCTCCGCCTTCAGCTTCTCTTTCCGCTCCTTTTCCTTCCGCCTCTGCTGCTCCTGTTCCTCCTTCTGCTTTCTCTCTAGCTCTTTTCTTACCTTCTCCTCTCGCTCCCTCACCTCTCTCTTCTCCTTCTCCAATCGTTCCTTCTCCAATCGTTCCTTCTCCAATCGTTCCTTCTCCAAACGTTCCTTCTCCATCCGTTCCTTCTCCATCCGTTCCTTCTCCATCCGTTCTTGCACTTCCTTCACTTTCTTCTCCTGCTCCTTCTGCAGCCTCGCTTGCTCCTCTCTCTCCTTTTCACGCTCGATTCTTAATTGCTCTTGCTTCTCCTTCTCCCTCCTTTCCTGTTCCTTCTGCAACACTTCCAGCCGCTCCCTTTCCTCCCTCTCCTGCTCCAACCTAAGCTGCTCCAGTCGTTGCTGCTCCAATAGTTCTCTCTCCTTCCTCTCCTGCTCTTCTCTCAGTCGCTCAAGCCTCTCCTTTTCCTTCCTCTCCTGCTCGGCTTTCAGCTGCGCCTCCCTCTCCCTTTCCTTCCTCTCTTTCTCTGCTCTAAGCCGCTCAAGCCGCTCCTTCTCCTTCCTCTCCCGCTCAACCCTAAGCTGTTCCTGTAGCTCCTTCTCCTTCCTCTCCTCCTCTCTTCGCTCCTCTTCCAGCCTCTCCCTCTCCCTCCTCTCCTCTTCCATTCGCAACTGCTCCAACCGCTCGCGCTCCTCTTGCTCCCGCTCCTTCCGACTCTCTTCCTCCATCTGCCGCTGCTTCTCCCGCTCTCTCGCCTGCTCCATCTGCGCATCCCTCGCCTGCTGCTCCTCCGCCGCCTGCGCCTGCTTCTCACCGCCAGGCCCGCCGCCACTGCTCGCAGCACTCAGCTGCGGCGCGGACAGCCGTCTGGGCACGGCCCCCAGCAGCCGGCCTTTGCCTGCGGGCTTGCCTCCCAGTCGGGGGGACGTTAGCTTGCGCGCGGCAGGCGCGGAGGACGAGGAGGTGGAGGAACACGACGAGGTGGGGGATGCCGGTGCGAGGGGAACGGGTGGCGCGGGTGCGGCTGAGGCGAGCGGGGAGTCGAAGAATGGCACTGTCGGGGGGGGGAGGAGAGGCGCGGCGACGGCGGCGGAGGACGGCGCGGGGCGAGTGGGCGCGCGTGGAGCATCCGCGCGCAGATCGTCCGCGTCGTCGAAGCCCAGAAACGCACTCGCTGCCGGCTCCGCGTGTTTAGACGGAACGGAAGAATTCGGAAGCGTAGCTGAGGGTGCTGGCGTTGCAGCGGGAAAGCCATTAGCGGGGATTGATGCGACGGATGGAGCACCAGTGAGGGTGGACAGGCTGACACTTCTGCCGCTGCTGTTGCTGCTGCTAGCCGAGGTAGCAGGAACGCTATTCGCAGCATTAGGGGTTGCAGCGGGAGAGGGAGTGATGGCGGAGCGAGCGACCAGCGGCTTGCCTTTGACGAGCGACGACCGCGACGGCTTGCCGGAGAGCCCGATGATCTTAATCGGCGCCGCCGCGCCACTCGTGGCGGACGACGACGCGCCGTGCGGAGCGGAAGCTGCAGCGCGGGGAGCGGGAGCAAACGCGGGAGGAACCGCGCCTTGCGCTTGCGACGATGTCGCGGTGGAGGGTTGATGATGTGCTGTTGACGATCTGTTAGCAGGAGCGACGACAGATGTCGCAGGGGTCGCATCTGTCGCATGCGATGTCGCATTGGACGACGACGGTGCGACGGATTGAGAAAGTCCTTTCTTGGAAGCAGCTATTGCTCCTCGCTTCGCAGTTGCGTGCGGAGGGTGCGCGGGCTCCGTCGCTGCAAACAGATGCTGCTTCGCGGATTCCGGCAGCAAAACGTCAAGCGGATCTGCCGGATGCACGTCCCGGATCGACGGATGCCGACGTGAATCCGACGGCTGAGATGCGACAGTGGAATGGGTTCGGGTGGCGTGACTGCCATCGATCGCAGCAGGCAGAGCGTCCGACGCAACGTGAGATCCGCGAGGTACGGACTGAGGCGATTCGAGCTGCGCGGAAGGAGCAGGAGGGTCTTCATGTGCGAATCCAGTGGACGCGTCTGTCGCTCCCGATGCATCTGACCACGTCGCGAGAGGCTTGGCGCTCAGCCTGACCGCGCCAAGACCTCCTCCCCCCGGCTTCTTCTTTCGAGCAATCGGCGGCATGGCTACCCTACTCTCTCCTACGGTCTACCGAAAGAAAATAAGAATCCGAGAAATACGAAATAGGATGCCATGGAAAGGAAGGCGAGGATTATAGCAGGTGCATATGTCTTCCATGCTGAGATTCATGTTGGTGCGATCTCGAGAATTGGCAGATCTGACATGCCCCCCAGGATTGAGCTTGTCAGGAGGGGTGAGCAGTTCGTCAGAACAGAAGGCTGTGAAACGAGGTCCAACTACACTTGCGCTAAGGCTTACAAAGATGCAGTTGTCCCACCAACTAAATTCAACATATTCATTGATGTGCATAGATAACCAACTATGATATATGGGATACCATCTTCCAGAAGAATATGGGTTTCTTCTTCACATACTATTACAAAATTGACGTACTCCAACTGGATTCGGTCAATTTGGATCCTTAAAACTCAGCGTCAAGATGGGCATTTTTCTTTTTCATTTCATAATCAAGGGGCTTTCCTTCTTGGTCCTTCCACAAGACCACAGCATTGTCATTCATTCCGCATGAATAGTTATGTGGATATACAGCATGTTTTAGTGACCTTCCATCCATACGAGATTCATATTCATGTAGCACATATACGGTAGTAAATAATTACTTTGGTAAAGGTGGTCTCAGTCAGGTTTAAATATTGTGAAAAGGCACTAGCACACTGGCACGCCAGCCTGCCAGCCCTCTCAGCACGCCAGCCCCATGCAAAGCGGTGGCAACGAACCGTGAACTGTGGGATGGAACTGTGGGGTGGGACTCTGGGATAGGACAGTGGGATGTGACTGTGGGATGGGATAGTGGGATGGGATAGTGGGGTGGGATTGTAGGATGGGATGTGGGGTGGGACTGTTGTCAAACATATATGCTGCATATTGTCTAGGCTGTAGTGGGGTAGCCCATATGGGGTACAGCCCAATTAGGGTTTACTACTTGTACTCCTGCATGCTGCTAGTTCATCCATTCCTGCTGCTAGATTCTGACATGGTTTCAGAGCACTAAGGTCCGTAGGACCGTTTTTTTTTCGGGCCCACCTACCGCTGCGGTTATCGCGCGACCCCACGTACCTGCCTGCCTTGCCTTGCCTTGTGACGTGCTGCACTATGTGCGCCGTCCAGCAGCCCTAGCGCTGCCTCCTGCTGCCCTAGGCCAGCGCGCTGCCCCTAGAGGCCCGTAAGGCCCACGCGCCGCCCCTAGAGGCCCGTAAGGCCCGCGCAGCCCGCTGCAGCCGCGCGCAGCCCGTACAGAGCCCGCGCAGCCCGCTGCAGCCGCGCGCAGCCCGCACAGAGCCCACGCAGCCCGCGCCGAGCCGCGCACAGCCCGCTGCAGCCGCGCGCAGCCCGCACCGAGCCGCGCGCAGCCCGCAGCTGCCGCGCGCAGCCCGCGCCGAGCCCACGCAGCCCGCGTCGAGCCGCGCGCGGCCTGCTACGGCCTCGCGAGGCCCGCGCGCGGCCCGCAGCAGCCCGCGCCGAGCCGCGCGCGGCCTGCTACTGCCTCGCGCGGCCCGCTACTGCCTAGCGCGGCCGCGCGCGGCCTGCAGCAGCTCAGCGCGCTGTCAGCGCAGCCCGCGCCGAGCCGCGCGCGGCCCTCTGCCTCGGCCACGACCTGCCGCTGATGCGGACCCGCCCTGCAGCTACCACGGCCCCGACCTGCCGCTGATGCGGCCCCGCCCTGCAGCTGCCACGGCCCCGACCTGCCGCTGACGCGGCCCCACCCTGCTACTGCCGCTGAAGCGGCCCCGCCCTGCAGCTGCTTCGGCCCTGCTCTGCAGCCGGTTTTGCGGCCCCGACGCCGCCGCTGTCGTGCGCCTACTCGGCCGCCGCCCGTCGAGCGCCGGCCCTGCTCGCCCGGTGAGCGCCTGCTCTCCCAGCCTTTGGTGAGCGCCTGCCTGCCTGCCTGACGGCCTGCCTGTCTGCCTGCCTGCCTGCCTGCCTGGCTGCCTGCCTGCCTGCCTGCCTGCCTGCCTGCGCGACTGCCTGCCTGCCTGCCGGCCTGCCTGTCTGTCTGCTTGCCTGCCTGCCTGCCTGCCTGTCTGCCTGCCTGCCTGCCTGCCGGCCTGCCTGCCTGCCTGCCTGCCTGCTTGCTTGCCTGCCTGCCGCGCCTGCCTTGCCCGCGCTACTGCTGCTGCTACTGCTACTGGCAGGTGGCCAGATGCAGCTCCAGCGACGTTCACGCGAGCCTCTGACGCCCCAGCAGCTTAGTGAGTGGTATACTAGCTGGGGTTGTCGCAGTAGCCGTCGTAGCTGTCGCCCTGGAGCTGGTCAGTTGGGAGCGTCTGGCAGTGGCCAGCTGCAGCTGCAGGGGCGTCCACGTGAGACACTTACGCCCCGGCAGCTCCAGGAGTGGTACGCTCAGTGGGTCTACCCGTACAGTTCGCTGCCCGTACGTCATTCGCACAGGTGCTAGGACTGGTCAGCCTTGTGGGACGCTTGGTCACACACAGTCCCGCTGCTTCGCCCGTCTGAGCGACGACTGGCGCACAGTGTTTGGCGACGAGGCTGAGCTCCCCACCTGGCTGGAGCTGCATGGACAGAGGGTAGATATCTTTGCGCTTGACTATGATGCTATTCTCACTGCCATGTATGCATTGCCTACTAGTGCTGATCGTGCCTGTTATCTGTGCGTACCGCCTGACCCTGGTGAGGCTGCTGCTCTAGGTGCTAGTGCGTCTCCTGCTCTAGGTGCTGGTGAGGCTGCTGCTCTCGGTGCTAGTACGTCTACTGCTCTAGGTACTGGTGAGGCCGTGGCTTCAGGTGCTGGTGAGTCTGCTCTCTCTGGTACTGCGCCAACTACGGTCTCGCACACCTTCACCCTTGACTCAGGAGCTTCCTGCTCCTTCTTTCGCGACTGCACCACACTCACGCCGCTTAGTCGGCCAGTTCCAGTCTCCCTGGCGGACCCCTCCGGGGGTCCAGTCCTTGCCCACTACTCCACGGTTCTGCCGTGTCCGGCCGTCCCGTCCGGCTCGCTGTCAGGTCTTTACCTCCCCTCGTTCTCTACGAACTTGGTGAGTGGAGCTGACCTCCAGGATCGGGAGGTTGACCAGTTCACTCCTGCGAGTCAGCGAGTGACTCACTGTACGTGTGCTAGGACGGGCCGGCACTTGGCCACGTTCACCCGTGCACCTGGCTCGAGTCTGTACACACTGACCACTGAGTCCCCTCAGGTAGCTGCGTCTGCGTCTACGTCTGGTCAGCTGGCGGCCCCCTGCGAGTGTCGCGCTTTGTCGCACGACACTCTCCTGTGGCACCACCGTCTTGGTCACCCCTCCTTGCCTCGCCTGCGTAGCATGCACTCTCGCTCCCTGGTCTCTGGTCTTCCCAGGTCTCTGCCTGCCCTCCCTCCCTCGCCTGCGCCGCCCTGCATTCTTTGCGTCGAGGGGCGGCAGCGCGCCGCTCCTCACTCCTCCTCGTTTCCTCCCACAGAGGCTCCACTGCAGACGCTCCACCTGGACGTGTGGGGCCCAGCCCGCGTCCAGGGACAGGGCCGCGAGCGGTACTTCCTGCTGGTTGTCGACGACTACACGCGTTACACCACGGTCTTCCCCTTGCAGAGCAAGGGGGACGTCCCTGATGTTTTGATCCCTTGGATCCACGCTGTTCGTCTCCAGCTCCGCGAGCGGTTCCGGCGGGACTTTCTTGTCCTGCGTCTGCACTCTGACAGAGGTGGTGAGTTCTCCTCTGACCTCTTGGCAGCCTACTGTGCGGAGCACGGCATCACCCAGTCGTTCACGCTTCCGGCCTCTCCACAGCAGAATGGGGTTGCTGAGCGTCGCATTGGCTTAGTCATGGAGGTCGCTCGTACCTCCATGATCCATGCGGCTGCCCCCCATTTTCTGTGGCTGTTTGCGGTCCGGTACGCCGCGCATCAGCTCAACCTCTGGCCCCGTGTCTCCTTGCCGGAGACCTCGCCCACACTGCTGTGGACGGGGAAGGTTGGTGATGCGTCGCGTTTCCGAGTCTGGGGTGCTCGTGCCTTTGTCCGCGATACCACCGCGGACAAGCTCTCCGCCCGCGCTGTTCCCTGTGTCTTCCTTGGCTTTGTCCCTGACGCGCCTGGTTGGCAGTTTTACCATCCCACCTCGCGCCGTGTCTTTGCGTCTCAGGACGTCACGTTCGACGAGTCGGTTCCCTTTTACCGTCTCTTCCCCTACCGCACTGCCCCGCTCCCCCCCCGCCGCTCTTCCTCGCTCCAGGTGCTCCCCAGGTAGACCCCCTCCCCACTCCTGGTCCTGCTCCTTCAGGTGTTTCTCAGGTAGACCCTCCTCCCTTGACTGCGCCGGTTGAGGTCACTGGTGACTCAGGTCCTACTGAGGGTGGTCCTTCTCGGGGTGCTACTTCTAGGGGTGCTGAGCCTGGGGGTGCGGAGCCTGGGGGTGCTGAGCCTGGGGGTGCTGAGCCTGAGGGTGCGGAGCTTGAGGGTGTGGAGCCTGGTGGTGCTGAGCCTGAGTGTGAGGGGTCTGGGGGTGCTGAGCTTGGCGGTACTGACGCTGGAGGTTCTGGAGCTACTGAGGGTGCTGGCGCTGGAGGTTCGGGAGCTGCTGGAGGGCCTAGTACTGGTGGCGCTGGAGCTGGAGGTTCTGGAGCTGCTGAGGGTGCTCGTGCTGGAGGTTCTGGAGCCGCTGGAGGTACTGGTGCTGAGGGTACTGACACCGGAGGTTCTGGAGCCGTTGGGGGTGCGGGCGCTGAGGGTTCTGAGTCTGCTGTTGCGCGGTCTCCTTGGAGTAGCCGCCTTCGTCCACGTGTGCCTCTCACCCCACAGCAGCTGCAGGACTGGTACGGTCGCCGTCAGCGTCGCGCTGCTGGAGCTAGGAGTGGTGCTGGTCCTTTGTCTACTGGAGGTGCTGGAGTCGCTGGTTCTGGAGGTGCTCGTGCTGGAGACACTGAGGCTGGAGACCCTGGGACTGGAGGTGCTGGTTCTGGAGGTGCTGCTGCTGGAGACACTGAGGCTGGAGACCCTGGGACTGGGGGTGCTGGGTCTGGGGGTGCTGCTG